GTTCTTCATCAGATTATTTACTGAGGACGATTGCATAATAATATGAATAATTAGGGCAATGATGTTTTCGAGATTTTTTTTCCTATCCCTATCTAAAACTTTCATGGCCCTGCACTACTCCCGGGGTTACGATTTGTACAATATGACATCCAAACTGCATGAGGATGTTTGCCTATTAAAATGACTATAGCTTACTGTGGACCTGCTGTTCTTGAGATAATTTTTAATGATATTCCTTAGATATGCATATACATAATGAAATCTTTTACTCCTTATTGCCTATCCTAGCCCCAGATGCTATGAACTGGAAAAAAAACTTGATACTCAAGAATTTGCAGAACTTTCTTTTCTCGATCATCAGTTCTGGGGGAAAATATTTTTTAAAATGATGTTGCCAAATTTTCTCTATTTCTTCATTAATGCCATTTGAAAGGGAAGTAAAGCTTCATTTTAATAAATCTGAGTCCCCCTTTCCAAAAGATGCTTAATAGCAAGTTTGGTTATTTCTGGAGATATATTTAACAAGTTTACAGACAACACACATTACATACAGACAGACTGACCCTTCAGTTTATAGTACATCTCACAGGAAAACCATAACAAAATGAGACACTTTTCAGCTGCCCATGTGTTACTGGACATTTCTAGCTTGTTAATCTAATCACGACGTTTTTTTGAAATAAATGAGCATGTTTAAAATAATTTTATCTCTAAATTAATTACATAGACAAAAGATATTTTGTCAATATACTAGTATACTTTAATTTTCTTTATTTTTTTTTCTTTGCATTTAAATCTTTTAAAGAAATTTTCAGAATTAAGCACAATAAAGTAAATATATTTAAATACTTTTTTAATCGGTGCATATGACTGTAAATTTTTATTTGACAATTTCTATCACTGCCAAAATGTTCAAGAGATTCTCCCCATTTCCCATTGAGAGAGCTATGAGTGAACTCAGACTCAGCTTGAGACGGTGGATTTCTATACACTTTCCACACACCAGTAAAATAACAAAAATTATCAATTATACAAGGGTTATCTACCCTTTAATACATGAATAAAAACTCTTTGATCAGGTTAAGAGTGAAATTAGATTCTACATAAAAATAATATTGTTACACATAGTAGTACAGTTTATTATGCAAAAATCACATTCATAGAAATGTGAAACAGTGAACAGAATTTATATCACACAACAAAACCGAGTCAACAATTATCTTATCATTCTAACCTCTACCTTATGATGTTAATGTAAGTACATATTACTGAATGAACATTAAAGCAATATTCAGTATTTGGAATATAAATATATCATTATAGTGAACTATTGTACAGGATATACATGTAGTAGTATTTAGTGATATTTTTACTTTTAAATAATCATCTTTCTCATTCAATTTGGTTACTATCAAAAATACACTGATCACAAAAATAACTGTTATATAATAAAAAATAATTTCCAATTCCTGAACTTTTTTCTTTTAAATGTGGAAATTTTTCTAAGATTTGTCTTTAAAACTACCTGGTATATTATCTTCATGAAATTGAATTGATTACATAATTCCCTCAAAAATATTCATTTTTAGACACTTGTATTTATTTATTTATTTATTTATTTATTTATTTATTTATTTATATGGGGGGGGGTTATTCTATATGCCAATTTTACTATGCAATTCTGTAAAAATTAACCTCTGACATATAAACATAAATATTATGATATTAATGGTATGTTGATGATTTTACAATAAATACTCTCCAAAACATTACACACACTGCATGCTCAAGGGCAACATAAAAAATCTGCCTTTTCTCTATTCACAACCATTCTCAAAATTTTAAAATTTTCAAGAAAAACACACACGTATCTATATGTCACATAGAGTCAAGGTAAACAAAATCATAGGAGTTTTATGACAGAAAAAGTTGCCGTAGAAGGAAGCCAATGGTTACTTTTTCATTTGATTCATAAGGTTTGAAAAAGTGAACAAATGCAAGTCAAATTTTTAGGTTGTTATGAGTAAATTTTTTCCCCATTGTATCAAACAAAAACATTAAAATTAAAGATTTTTATGATTGCTGTTTGGTTACATAATAGTGTAAAATTGTCATACCTTTTATCACTTTATAAAAGAAATATTAATATAATGCTTGGTTGTAAATCAAATATATACATGTATACACTTTGGTCCGACATCGATTATTTTTGAACTGCAGTCTGTTGTCAAACAGAAATTTTGGTCCCTTTGGATATAGAAAAAATAATTTGCTCATCTATACTTCAAATAAATTTTAATATTATATGGTCATAGCACATCAGCCTAAAAACTGGACAGGTGTTAACAAAAGGATACTGTAGATTCTATACTTTACGCGAGTACTTTATATCGCGAAATGGCCCTTAGAAGTCAAATCATAAGAGCAATAATTCGCGAGTAGATGTTTTATCTAAAGATTTTAAAAGCATTTCAGCACCATAAAAATAAAAGCAAGTAATTATATTTTGCGAGTGGTGCTTATCAGGAAATTACATGATAATTAATTCCTCACGTATATTTGGGAATCTACAGTGTGAAGAAAAAAAAATCACTCACCAAATCAATGTATTTAAAATTACATCCTTCGATCTGCTTCTGTATGATATGATATTTTCGTTTGAGTTAACACATGGGGTCTTACTGCTTGGAATCAAGAGCTAACACTTTTTATGCTATAATATATGACACATATTCAACTAGATTTTATTATGTAATATTCTAATAGACAACTAATTGTTATTATTTACATTTGCAAATATTTTTCTTAGATGAACCTATAGAAGAGAAAATATGTTCAATTCTGTATGAACTTATTAGGGGGTCAGAGGTCATGGCGTGACCGAATCACACAGCGAGATGATATCTTGTCTACATATTTCTGTCACAGTGACACTGGTTTCGGAACTTCTGAACCGTCAAAGCGATGAAAAAGATAAAATTATTGAAACATATAAATTATTTTTTTTTCGTTCAACAAATGATCGTTAGATCTTTCTTCGGTGTGAAGAATGTTTCTAATTAGCCTAAAATCACGCTTACCTTTTTAACCCGAAATTCCTTTGAAGGTATGTAAACTGAAGACGATAGCACCGCTTTTGACTTTATATATAAAGAACTCGTACAATAATAGTAAGATAATTCCCAGTAGCGATCATTGTTTTTGCATTATGAACAGATATTTCCTGAACTGGACTGCTAAACATCAATGTAAGTATTCAAATGTTGGAGCGAGGCGAACTCTCAAGACCAAACAACTTCTAGGTCATTGCGCGTCACAACATAGCAATACGGCGGGCCGTTCGTGTAATAAATGCAGTTCTATTCAGAATATTCGTCTCAAATGTAAATAAAAGTAATAAACAACAATGTTAAAAAGTTCACTGGGAAATGAACTTGGTTGGTACGTGATCAAATCTTCTGAGAAGCCCTTCGGGCTTCACAGGATTTGATCACATGACCAACCAAGTTCATTTCCCAGAGAACTTTTTAACATTGTTGTTTATTTCTTAAGTGAACCTGTTTAATTATTATTATTATTATTATTATGTTTATTCAGGCAAAGATTCATATAACATTTTGTTCAGAAACATATAGGAGTGTTAGATATATATACATAATTGCTAAAATCTGTCATTATAATTATAAAAATCATTACATTTTTACCAAAGTAACCAAAAAGTATCACATTAAATTCATATAAATGAAATAATTTGCATGTTGAATTACTTCACAACCTGAGGAAATCACAGATGACATAATATTTCGGAAAAGTTTTAAAATAAACTCCAACCTAACATGGGTAAATGAAATATGGTAAATTTAAGCCGAAAGAAATATATTCTATCAGATCACACACATTAAAATCAATTAATCAATAATACATTCAGAATGAAATTGAGGAAAAATTGAAATGTATTTGATCTTTTGTAAAATTTTGCACATTACCTACAAACTACCACTTTGTTCATTACAATCTTTTTAATAAGAACCAGTAAAATGTTAACCACAACAATATTTTCTTGCTGGTAAATATTTTGGGCAGTGTCAATTTTTTTTATACTCTCTCTCTCTCTTTAACTGCTACAGCTAGACTATAAAACACCTAGCCTTTGGAAATAATCATTAAAAAATCATTACACTCTATTGAACTCCCTTCAACCATCTTATTTTATTGGTTTAATTGAGGAAAAAAAGATAATAACAAGAGGCCCATGGGCCATAACGCTCACCTGAGTAACTTTGGCCTTGCTGTTTTTCACCTGATCCCCCCATTGTAGTACTTATTGTGGCCCCACCCTACCCCCAGGGGTCATGATTTGACCAATTAGAATCTACACTACCCCAAGATGCTTCCATATAAGTTTCAGCTTTTCTGGCCCAGTGGTTCTTGAGAAGAAGATTGTTAAAGATTTTTTCTGCATATTTCAATGTAAAATTTGGATTCCCTATTGTGGCCCAGCCCTACCCCCGGGGGTCAAGATTTGAACAATTTAGAATCTACACTACCCCAGGATGCTTCCACATAAGTTTCAGCCTTTCTGGCCCAGTGGTTCTTGAGAAGAAGATTGTTAAAGATTTTTACTACATATTTCAATGTAAAACTTGGATTCCCTATTGTGGCCCCGCCCTACCCCCGGGGGTCATGATTTGAACAATTTAGAATCTACACTACCCCAGGATGCTTCCACATAAGTTTCAGCCTTTCTGGCCCAGTGGTTCTTGAGAAGAAGATTGTTAAAGATTTTTTCTGCATATTTCAATGTAAATCTTGGATTCCCTATTGTGGCCCCACCCTACCCCCAGGGGTCATGATTTGAACAATTTAGAATCTATACTACCCCAGGATGCTTCCACATAAGTTTCAGCCTTTCTGGCCCAGTGGTTCTTGAGAAGAAGATTGTTAAAGATTTTTACTATATATTTCAATGTAAAACTTGGATTCCCTATTGTGGCCCCGCCCTACCCCTGGGGGTCATGATCTTAACAATTTAGAATCTGCACTATCCCAGGATGCTTCCACATAAGTTTCAGCTTTTCTGGCCCAGTGGTTCTTGAGAAGAAGATTTTTTAATGACCCCACCCTATTTTGTCTTTTCTTGATTATCTCCCCTTGTAAGGGGACTTGGCCCTTTATTTTAACAATTTACACTCCCCTTCACCCAAGGATACTTTGTACCAAGTTTGGTTAAAATTGGCCCAGTGGTTCTTGAGAAGAAGTTGAAAATGTGAAAAGTTTACAAACGGACGGACAGACGGACGGACGGACGGACAGACGGACGGACGACGGACAACGGGTGATCAGAAAAGCTCACTTGAGCTTTCAGCTCAGGTGAGCTAAAAATATGACATTTGAATTCAATCTTACAGAGTATTAAAAGGGATCTAACTCTCTCACAACCCATACTCTCTTTCTGAGCACAACCGAGGTTTAGAAAAAATTTTTTAAAAAAAATCTTCAAAATAAAGAAAGCTTATTAAGAAATGTAAAGTTTACATGAGGAAGCTCAGGAGAATTTTTAATGTAAATGTCAAATCAAAAAAATGGCGCAAGACTAAAAAAAGACTATTAACTTCTAAAATCCATCCAAACTACATGTACATCTCTCTCAGATCACAGAGGAAAGTCAAGTGGACACCAGCACTTAAATACTTCATTAAAATAAAGCAATGCATCTTATTGTATGTCGAACTTTAGATGAAATTAGCTTGATGGTAGTTCATGCCATTGTGCATCAAACCCTGGATGATATTTGCACGATGTGTTATAATTGATGTGGAATCTGGTCTGAACATTTTGTCTGTCTGTATATCTATTGTTGTTGTTGTTGACTCTGGTCCCAGGCCTTGGTTGGTTTGTTTGTTTATTTGTTTGTTGTAGCACCATGAGAATCTGATGTCATTCCTAACACGCACATCGACTACCCTGGTCCTGTCCCTTGTTTTCCTGGGGTACTATCCTAGATGAGGAGTCGGACTTCTCAGACTCTGTCTGTATCTTGAATATGTCTGAAAAATGTGTATCTTTATTGTTTACAGATTTTTCCTTAACATTAAAAGCAAAAATGATTTACTGGAAATTAAATGAAATTTTACTGACTATTTTATGCACAAAATTTGTGAAGTACTTTTTTTTCAATTATTTTATTACAGATGGCTAAGACACAATTATATTTTGACATTGTGCTAGATAAAATATACCTAAAAATAATCAATATTGTGTGCCCTAGCTCCAAGAATAATTCTGTAGATTCCTTATTTTACGTAAATACTTTAAAAATATCATAAAATGACTCAGATGTCAAATTGAACAAACGAATTCACGTCTGGGGGCTGTTGATGAAGATTCTACACGTAATGTCAGCAATATGAAAATTGAAGAGAGTAATTTTATTTGTTGAGTGGTGCTTCCTGTGAAAGTATGCAATTATAGATTCCTCCCATACATTTAGGAATCCACAGTATAATAGCACAGTTGTAAATTAGTGCGTTTTAAAACAATAACTCTAACATAAATTTTAACTTAAATATGAACAGGAGAGATGAGTAAGTGGAGTAACTTAAGCATATGTGTTTGATCACTAGCATGAATAGAGGCAAACTAGGAAATTTAATTAACATTTTTCCATTCTCCTTGGCATTTAATAAGTTTTTACTACAATTAATAAAATTTTTTTAAAAATGTAGCAAATTCTTATTCTGAATATTTCACCACTTTTGTTAATATGTAGATTTGTCACATCCTATGAGGCCCAAAATAAATTTTTAATAATTATAGCAATTAAATGTTCACTCACCAACTAATAAATTATTGAAGGCCTCTACAACATTGGAGGCATCTAAAGCTGAGGTTTCTATGAAAGAATAATGGTATTTTTCTGAAAGGAGAAAGAGAAATCAATGATTATACCATCAAACATGACCTAATGATTTTTTTTAACAAAATGCTTGTATCAGCTGTGTATAGGAGAAAACTTGTTCTGTGTAATGTGGTTATAAGGTGAATCCTTAAGAAGAGATACTTTAACTTTGTTAAAGCTCTACTTAACAAATAGTCATTTCTTTTAAATGTGAATCCCTAGGGTCATACTAAAGGTCCTTTAATAACTACGTTTCTGCTTGTTAATAATTCATTTTCATGATGAACCTTTATACAAATCTACTTCAAGTTAAGCAGATATCTCCTATATTTGTGTTTATCACACCTGTACAGTCTAACCTCACTATCTGGTGCTGAGAAAAAAGTTGGATATCCAAAATTTCAAGGAATTGAGGTCAAAGATACATAAAGATAATTAAATGGTTAGGATTTACAACACACTTTGACACATCCATAGTATCTGAGATATTGGTTTTCAAGATACCAAAGTTTAACTGTTTAAAGCATTGAATAACATAGTATGTAATATTATAGTGTATTTATCTGGTAATGGCAAAATTTCTCAAGCAATAATATTTTATGTGCTGTGTTCTTTAAAAGAAGACTGTTAAATTTTGCCTGCTACAGTTCTACCCTCCTCTGTCGAGAAGATGCACTGTGACTTCTGATCAGTTTTATTTCCTTCTTTTATTTATAATACACACAGAATGTATTTACCTACTACAATTTAGCCCTCCTCTATTGACCCTCTGTTCACGGTTACTTGTACTTCTGGTCAGTTTTATTGCCCACCATAATAATACACACAGAATGTATTTACCTGCTACGGTTCGGCCCTCCTCTGTTGACACCACCCTCTGTGTCTTCAGGTCTGTTTTATTTCCTACTATCATTATACATACAGAGGGATCTGCATGCTCCTTCAGCTCGCTGATCCATTTATCTAGGTTTTCAAAAGTCTGGGGTTTTGTGATGTCATAGAGGACAAGCGCACCTACTGCACCTCTATAGTATCTACAAGTTCAAAGGTTAAAGGTCAATATAAGGATAAATAGCAATGTACTGTCTACCCTTGTTAATCTGGATGCTTGTGTTCCCAACCTAATCATCCAGAATAATTAAACATCTAGATAACTGAAACAGACTTGGATATATACAGTATATATACATTGTTCCCCACAATTTCATCCGGAAGGTGAAGCATGCGGATTATTGGCATCCGGATTAACAAGGCTCCACTCTACAATATGGCTGGGTTGATATCAAGATGCAATGTTCTACATATGCAAATTCATGCACCTGTTCTAATATTTTATGTCATATTTATACCCAAAACATTACGTGAATTATATTAATAATTATTATTAAAGAGCGCAATCTGTCCTCTGTATTACAAGGCAAAATTATTTCTAGAAGTAACAGTACACAATTGATACACTTTGTGACAGGGCACAATTAACACTCTTGTTTACAGAGCACATTTAAAACTCTGGCTAACAGGGCACAATTGATACTGGTTAACAGGCACAGTTGATACTCTGGTTAACAGAGCACAATAGATACTCAGTTAACGGGGCACAATTGATACTTGGCTAACAGGGCACAATTGATACTCTGATTGACAAGGCACAATACTTAGCATACTATGATTTACAAGGTACTATACTTTATATCCCGATTACCTCATGGTTATCTAATTTACTGCCGCCCCCACTTTAAACAATCAGATGGATGAAAGTATAATGTATTGCCAAGGCTTGAACTCTGAACTGTAGATAGTCTAATTCATGTAATTAAGAATGTTTAGAGTATTTTATCTGCTTCAAATGTAACGATTTTATTAGACTATAAGTGTGGTTCAGTGAATGTTCAAAAAGATATTTCACCAGGACTTCTTTCTTATCTATCCTTCTAAATTCCATAATGATTGATCTTGCATTGTATTCAACAGCACATTCTCCACAACTAACAGATGCTTCCTACCTTCACCCCAAAAGGGTTCCGATATGTAATGGTGATATCAAGTATTGATACTCTGACAAGGCACAATTGATACTCTGGTTAGCAGGGCACAATTGATACTCTTGGTTTAGAGGGTGATACTCTGGTAAACAGGGCATAACTGATACTCTGTTTGACAGGGCACAATTGATACTCTGGTTAGCAGGGCAATATGACGGGAAAAGGGCACAATTGATAGTCTGGTTGACAGTTCACAATTGATAGTCTGGTTGATAGTTCACAATTGATGCTCTGGCTAACAGGGCATGATTGTTACTCTAGTTAAGAGTGCACAATTGATATTCTGGTTAAGAGGGCAAATCCTGGTTTAAGAGCACAATTGATACTTACACACTAGTTATGGCCCTGTATCTCTCCTGTCCGGCCGTGTCCCAGATCTGTGCCCGTACAGTCTTACCACGGATCTGGACATTTCTAAATGAAACAATAGTTAAACACTTACAGAATGTCAATAAACTATCTAATTTGTCTGTCGGAAAAAAATAATTGATTGATTCATTACTATGTTTAAGTAAACAGAGATTTACTATATTAAACAAATTCATTTCAAATATATGGCAGGGTCACTTTATCACTCTAAGACAAATTTCATTTTGCAAAAAAAAAAAATAATAAAATCTTGAATTTCATACCAAAAATTGTCAAATTTTCAATCGTGAATACTGCATTGTCAGAAATATCTACTAAAACATACATAAGGACACATAATTCAGTCATCCGCATACCTTGTGGCAAACTCCACTCCAATGGTTGTCTTACTCTCTGCATTGAACTCATTTCTTGTGAAACGGGACAGTAGGTTTGTTTTCCCTACACCAGAGTCCCCCACCAGAACCACTGAATAAAATCAAGAAAGTTCATATCTTTATGCTTACTGTTCAGAATAGAGATGGTGAAAAGAATTCATATGTACATGTTTGTCATGCAGGAAACTCAATAAATACCTTTCCATATAAAGTCGTACTGGTCTTCTGCACCCATAATGGAGATAACCTATTATACCTAAATCTGCTGAAGCCACTCCTGATCTGTGTCAATCTAAAAATGAAAAATTGAACAATATGACGAGTACTGATTACTTTAATATTTACATCAGGACTCAACATTAACATTTCTCTGATTACCATGTACCAGTTGAAATTTTTTATGTATACAAGAATATTACTTGGCACTTGTCTGTTCTGCCAAGTAAATTCTGTAGGCATTTGTCCAAATAGACTAGCTGCAGATCTGTAGCTCGCTGATCTGAAAAAATTGGGATGGACAACCAGAGAGCCTACTTTGCCACCCATTGAAAAAAGTGTATATTTATTGCACACAAAAAAGTGTGCTGTTTCAAGATTTATTTCTCCCTATATTTAAACTGCCATCGCAAAATAGTACTTATCGTGTGTTCCTAACATATTATACTACTTCCACATCAAAAAACATTTCCCTTAACTGTTGTTAATCAGGGTTCTCATTAATGTTTAGAGTAGGTGGAGAAAAAGAAAAAGTAGGGGGCACTGTTGACTTGAGAGCCGAAGGACTGCACTGAGGTCAACCGGCCCAAGGGGGGGGGGGGGGGGGTGAGTATGAGAGGGAGGTTTCCCCCTTTTGGCAATAGGGGGAGTCCAGTGGTCCTTCCCCAGATATTTTTTAAAATTTACATTGGAAGAGGTGGCATCTGGGACCTCTCTACGCATAATTTGACTTGTTTTATTTGTTCTCAATATGAACTTTTTAGGAGCCCATTTTGCCAAAAAAACAAGATGTGTTTGTGAAACACTGATGCCCCCGTATGGCAGCTTATGGCGAAGGTTAAAGTTTCTTCAAATGCAACTCAAAATCCAGGCCAAAAGATAAGAAATGTTGATACCCAAAGAAAGGTCTTGTCTCGAGGAATACACCTGTGAAATTTGAAAGACCTAGATACAACTGTTCAAAAGTTATGGCGAAGGTTAAAGTTTTTTAAATAAAAGTCAAACGTCAAGGTCAAGGTCAAAGTGGTTGGTGTCCAAAGGAAGATCTTGTCACAAGGATTACATATGTGAAGTATGAAAGCCCTAGCATCAACCATTCAAAAGTTATGGCCAAGGTTAAAGTTTTTCAAAAGTAGGTCAAACTCCTAGGTCAAGGTCATAAGGTCAAAGTGGTGGTTGATATCCAAAGGAAGGTCTTGTCGCAAGGATTACATATGTGAAGTATGAAAGCCCTAGCTCCAACCATTCAAAAGTTATGGCCAAGGTTAAAGTTTTTCAAAAGTAGGTCAAACTCCTAGGTCAAGGTCAAAGGGTCAAAGTGGTTGATATCCAGAGGAAGGTCTTGTCACAAGGAATACACATGTGAAGTTTGAAACCCTAAGCACCAACTGTTCAAAAGTTATGGCCAAGGTTAAAGTTTTTCAAAAGTAGGTCAAACTCCAAGGTCAAGGTCAAAAGGTCAAAGTTGTTGGTATCCAAAGGAAGGCCTTGTCACAAAGAAAACACATGTGAAGTTTGAAACCCCAAGCACCAACTGTTCAGAAGTTATGGCCAAGGTTAAAGTCTCATAAAATTTTGCAAAAGTAGGTCAAACTCCAAGGTCAAGGTCAAAAGGTCAAATATGATGGTACCCAAAGAAAGGTCTTGTCACAAGGAATACACATGTGAAATATGAAAGTCATAGCTCCAACCAATCAAAAGTTATGGGCAAGGTTAAAGTTGACAACAGACAAACAGACAAACAGACAAACGGACAAACAGACAAACAGACAAACAGACAAACAGATAAACAGACAAACAGACAGACAGGACAAAAACAATATACCCCCAGGATCTTTCGATCCGGGGGCATAAAAATCACAGGAGTAGCACACAGCCTATCCATTTAACTTCCTTGAGTTTAAAACTCAAACCAGACGGTGACCAATTGCGATTCTGAAATAATCACCATGTTTTAAAAAAGGGATCATTATCTGAAAAGAAAAGCATCGAATGACAACGATTTTATGTTTACTGTTTTTATTCACTACGCTTAATAAAACAAACGTGATAACCAAAGACCTCTGCTGTAGTACTGATTTTTCTTTAAATGATCATACTGATTTTTGAAAGTGAAATAACCGGCGCTATATTTGTCTAAATAGACTGCGAAATCGCCGGTCGCCAGTACTTAATGAGAACCCTGGTTAATAGCCTTCCTGATTGAGACCATTCAAAATTTCGCCTATTTATACCACCATTTTGGGTGGCAAGACACTTCAGCCAAACGCATTTCGTGCAGATGTCACCTATGAGAGTAGTTGATAGAGGTCTTAGGATTTTTTTTGAAATGGTGCTTTTGTGCAGTTGAGGCAAGAATTTGGAGAAATAAATACAGAACCAAGTGCAACTTTTTGTAATAAATAAATATAGTTATTTCTGTGGGTGGCACTGTAGCTCTGCGGTCTGTCAATATTTTTTTCAGAAAGCTACAGTTCTCCAGCTATATGAATACAAGTAGTTTATAAAAAAAAGTTAATGTTGAGCCCTGAACATGATCAATGGATATAAAACTTTTCATGAAAGCAATGTTGTCTAGCTGTTTGTTGATTCTCCAATACTGTGTTCTGAAATGTAAACCTTTTTCCATTGCCCCCTCTATCTCTGAATTTCAAAATTATTGATTTTATATGTAAGGTAAATCTTAATCACACTTCTAACTAAAGCCAAAACATTCATCATTAGACAGCTTACCAGGAGCACTGTTTAAAGAAATACTGTAAAAAACATAGACTGAATCAAGAGAAACTAACCAATAACCGGAATAACATTTCTTTTTTGTAATCATCTGTTTCGACTTCTGTCAAATCCCCCTACTTCCGCTGTCATAAAAAAAGAATGATAGTGACTTATAAAGTTTACCTTTCTTAATGTCACAACTGAATAACAGTTAATAAAGTTAAGGAATACTAAACGCACATCTACAGCAATTTTACATCACATTCTCTCAATGTCAAGTCGTCGATCAAAATCACACCAAGTGACAAACGCGCAAAACACCTGTCACTCTAAAAATAGTTTTAGTGTGCTAGTCACAATTGCGTATTTAAATTTATGTCCTTTCAAAAAGTTTGTAATGTTGAGTAGAAATTTTCAAAAGTAAGTAAAAAAATATAAGAGAAGTGGTCTGAAGAAACTTTATATTTATTTAATCTATTTTTTTTATTTGTTAAAATTTAATTTCGTATTTTGTCGGAACACCTCTTCTACTTCCTTGACTTCGTGAGTTCCGCATGTGCAGCAGAAGAACGCAGAAGTACTCTGACACCGAGAATTCACTGTGAAAAGTAGGATGCTAGAATTTTATTTTATTTGGTTAACGTGTTTTTGTTATCACAATTGATATAAGCTCTCATTTTCTCTAATTCATTTAGTGGCAGGCAGATTTATCGTTCTGCAAGACCGGCATGGTGACCTTAGTCCGAATATCCTCAATCTGTTATGAAACATGCTTATCAACCAGTCTTACATATTTATGTTTTTAGCAAATGACAATGCAGAAAAACTGCTGTTATAACTGGTAAATGGGAGTATATTTAATTATTTGATAAAAACTTTTTCAAACCATAAGTTTGATATTTTTTTCAGGTTGAAACAAGTTACAAATGATAAAATTACCAGGGAAAAGGTCAAGAATGGTTTGATAGAAGCAGCTTACAATATCCTAATGGAACGATGATAGACTAGCAAAATGACATTTATACCGAAAAGACAGATATATTTGCCACATGTGTTGAAACATACATCTTTCCATCAAAATTTTTGCTTCTCAACATCAATAAGCACACATCAAAGTTTCCAAAAACTGGACAATCAGCCAAAGTATTTCTTTGCATTTCCAACAAGAAAATGCAACAATGGTTTAATGATATTTCAGAAGGATTCTGGTAACTTCCAGTGGATATGTGCAAGTTTCTTTTCATCTTCTCCCATTCAGTCTACTGATAAGCAGCAAATTTTCAAGAAATCATGTTTTGGACGAATGTCTGTGACAAAGCACCTGCCAAGGCCTAAACCTCCATGGAGGGTGCTGTTCTTTGGTACAGATAATTTCTCTCTGAGGATGTTGAAAACTTTAAATGAAAACAGGTAGGTATTGCATCAGTTATAAGGTATGATTAAAGGTTAATTATCATCAAAGGTTGTTTGACTTTTGAAGAAAACAGTTCCTGAAGTAATTGAACACTACATATGCAATATAACTGTATTTTTATTGACTAACCTACTGAGTATTCCTTATTTTAATACAGATTCAAATTTTTGTAATTTACCAATTTTTGCAAACCACAGCCAAATATGTACGATCCTCTCCCATTCTGGCCTTGGTTGAATGAGGCTAGAATATTTCTTAGCTCATTAAAATATTGACCAGTGCAAGTAAAGCATGGTTTAAAATAACTTTTGATGCAACCTTTCATTATCCAATTGCAGTTTACATAACATTTGTTGCTTATCATTTAAGAAGAAGGTACAGTTTGGGCTTTATTGTGCCAAATTTAATGTTTTCAAAAAGGTAATATGGAATTGGCTTAAATATGAGTTGAGTATATGAAAATGATAAATCATGAATGAAGGAGAACCAATCTGGAAATATGAAGTCACTAAATTGGTATATTTCTATGATTTTAACATGAAATCCTCAAACTGACTTATTTCTGGGGTTATTTTCCTTAATAAGAAAATAGTGTACACAGCTGTCGCCCACTTCAATTTCCGTATATGTTGTGTAAAATCATTTGAAAAATCACATTCCTCAAAATCTTTGTGGGCAATGCATGTGCTCTATATTATCTTAGACTAAGAGAAAATTCCATTGAACATGTTGAAAATTGACGTCTTCTGCAACTTTTAAGAAAATACGGGAAAATGTACAAGTTCATGACGTCACAATTAGCATTTTGGAGGTCATATGAGAAAAACAATTTGCTTGTTCTTACTGCATGGGATTTCAACGATTCAGAAAACATGAGTTTTAATTTCTTACATTACTTACATATTTTAGAAAAATACAGGGCCAGATTTGTATTGAAACCATACCTTATCCTTCAATTGCATTTATATCTAAACAATTACATTATCATTCATTGGTTTATAACATGATGTCATGTCATCAAGCAGCAACGATTAGGAGAGAGCTAGAGCAGACTCCGGACCATGGCTTGAGATGATGTAACTTAAATAATTAATTAACTGCTATCCTGGCAAAAGTTAATTGCATATCAGCATAATGAACAAAAGTTTTTATTTATAAGTTATCTTTAGCTGTATGTAATGGATTGTAATGCATTGTGAGCAAAATAATTTACTTACATCCCTGTTCATTTGTGCTGTAGGTTAAGCCAGGGAAAGGGCAGACTAGTAGATACTCTTGAAGTGGTAGCAATAAAGGCCAATAAAAAAGGATCAGAGGTTTGTTAATTAAAATTTTGTGCGAAAATTTTTGCAAAGTGTAAAATGGCACTTCAAATATATGTTTGAATTTTAGAACATTTGTAAATTTAATATTTGAAATACTGTGGAATTGTTTTAATTTGTGGGGGGGACAATATTCATGAGTAACTAAAATTTGAATGTTCTTGTGGACATCATTGATAATTTCGTAGGTAACTTGTATGCATAGCAGAGTCAGTGAACTGACACATTGAAAAAGTTTTCTTTTGACTATGGAAATAAATTTGTGGTTAAGTTTGACTTGATATTAAATCCACAAATATAGGTCCCCCACAGTCAATGATGCTTGCACAGTAAGTATATGTGTACTCATCTATGAATTTTTTTCACTTTTTAAGGTTCCAGTACGTCGGTATGCAGAGGAGCAGGGATTAAGGGTCCTGGACTGGCAGCCAAAGTTACACCCCCTGACTTATGACGTGGGGGTCCTGGCATCCTTTGGTTTCCTAATCCCATCAAAGGTTATAGACATGTTTCCCTAGTAAGTGGCTTAATGTTTCTGAAGTATTTATACACATGTACCTATGAGATGTATGTCTCTTGGTTTTAATAATAAAATCTAAAATCTAAGCTGTACAAGTGTTATTGTTTGTTTGTCCACTACTGTATCCTTTTAGAGTCACAGACATGTGTGAGAGGATTAAATATCACAGTCCCTAAAAACATTTTGAGAAATTCACCACCCCTTCCCCTTTCTTCCAATAGGTTGTTTACTCTGTACCATAGAAAGGGCCTTAACTCTGTACTTAGATATGAGAAAAGATAATACTTGAGGAACATAATATTTGATTTTCATGTTCATTAGATGAAAGATGGTCGTGTGATAATACATGTTTAATATGATTAAATTGTGCATGTGAGCATGGTGATATTTTTAATCTTGAGCCTTTGTTAGAATAGACAGTCCATGTATATTTACTCTTTAAACACAATGTTTCAGTGGAATCTTGAATGTCCACCCTAGTCTTCTGCCTAGATGGAGAGGGGCTTCCCCAATAGAACACACAATCCTTTATGGGGACACAGAGACCGGAATCTCTATCATGGAGATCCGACCAAAACAGTAAGTGTGAGGTATAGAGAAAGGCATCTCTATTATAGAGATCAGGCCAAAATAGTAAGTGTTAGATATAGAGATAGGCATCTCTATTATAGAGATCAGACCCAAACAGTAAGTGTTAGATATAGAGACAGACATCTTTATTATAGAGATCAGATAAGAACAGTAAGTGTTAGGTATAGAGACATGCATCTCTATTATAGAGATTAGACCAAAACAGTAAGTGTTAGATATAGAGAAAGGCATCTCTATTATAGAAATCAGACCCAAACGGTAAGTGTTAGATATAGAGACATGCATCTCTATTCTAGAGATCAGACCAAAAAAGTAAGTGTTAGGTATAGAGAAAGGCATCTCTGTTCTAGAGTTCAGGCCAAAACAGTAAGTGTGAGGTATAGAGACAGACATCTCTGTTTTAGAGATCAGGCCAAAACAGTGTTAGGTATAGAGACAGACATCTCTATTATAGAGATCAGATCAGAACAGTAAGTGTTAGGTATAGAGACATGCATCTCTATTATAGAGATTAGACCAAAACAGTAAGTGTTAGATATAGAGATAGGCATCTCTATTATAGCATTAAATCCTTCTCTGAACCATGAGGCTCATGAGGCCTTTGCTTTTACCCATTTTCTGTGGTGTTAAGCAGATGAGAATCAATGACTCCCCCAGCTGGGTGGGACACCAGGCCATCACAGGTTAATCCCCAGCGTAAGCAGGTACATGTACCTTTTGCAGCTGGATGGACCAAGACAATGCAGATAACGTGCCTTGTCTAAAGACACACATCAAGTGCCCAAAGTGATGCTTGAACCAGTGAACTTTGGGTTACTGACCAAACACCTATGACCACTGAGCCATGTGCTTCATCTCTATTACAACAGTCTAAAACTATAGGTGTAAGGTATAGAGACAGGCATCTCTATCATAGAGATCAGACCAAAACAGTAAGTGTTAAGTATAGAGACTGTCAACTGAAGAGATCAGATCAAAACTGTAAGTGTAAGGTATAGAGACAAACCTCTCTTTCAATCATAGAGATGAGACCAATATTGTTAGTGTTAGGTCTAGAGAATACCTTCTCTATCATTAGATTAGACCAAAAGAGTGGGTGATATTGGAGGAGTATATGCTGCACTTGTCAAAGTATTTTGTTTTAATCTGAATTATTATGAAGAGACTAAATAGACTTTAAGGCCATTGAATTGCAAAGCATGAATCCTACATACATCCTTACTTATTCTTCATACCCATAATTTGTAATTAAGATATTTACCTATAATGTTTTGTATGTACGTGTAACATTTATGTTTGTAGCTTTGATATAGGACCAATCCTGTTACAAAAACAGTATTCTATCCCAGACAGAGTTACAGCCCCTGAATTGAGACAAATAATGGCTGAGAGGGGGTGCAATGTGGTGAGTCTCGATACAAAAATGTCACTCAAGAATAAAAAAAAAGTAACTTCAATAAACTCTATCTCAGAACTTGCAATTGAAGCACTTATTGGTAGATACTGTAAACCAACTTTTATTCGTGCAAAATATATCTGCGAGTTTTGCGACCTTATTTTACATTTCTCGCTGCAAACTATTATTTTCATTGTGTATTTTGATATATAGAATTGTTAACCATTTGCGAAAATTAGTGGATGCAGATAGATTTCAAAATTACAAGTTGCGAATAAAAGTTGTCAAGAATAATAGTTGATTTACAGTAATTTGATCAGATCAGCCAAAACTCAGACTTTGAAGACCCAGCTAGATATTAACTTCTCCATTAAGTGAATGCAGAGTGAAATTAATTATTCAAATTCAAATTATTCTGTAGTAATTCCACAGTAAACTGCAAATCAAAATACATGTATTTGTGAGTGTAGAATGTACATGAAGGTCCCCACTAATTAATGTACCAGAGCCAACATAGGCAAAGTGCTTTGTAGTCAACAGTCCTGAAAAGCAGTTTGATTGTTAAAAAAAGTGCACATACACATACAGAGTTGATGATCAAAATTCAGTTTTGAGTCAAATTCTATGATATTGTTCAAACAAATTTTTGAAATTCTTATTTTCACAGTAATTTTGATATTAAACAGATATAATGGTTTGGGCCGGGCTTTAATCCATTGAACATGTTGAACTGTTGTTTTACAGATGATGGAGGCATTGTCTAATCTGCCGGAGCTAGAACGGCGCGTCGTGGAACAGAGTGAGATTGGGGTCACATACGGTAAAATTTTAGTTGTTCTTTTCCATCCTGTTTGTGTGGATTTTTTGCGGAAATATTTAGTTTCTACCCATTGCTATGCAACTTACTACAGAATGACTTGAAGTTCAAATTTCTGATTTCATAAAAGTGACTCTATGAACAGTTCTGATTTACTTTATTCATTGTAAGGTATTTTAATGATTTAATTTAATTTCAAAGAATTTTAACACATATATGTCATCTAATTTAGCTGTAGAAATATGGAATTTTTAACTACAGGAAATTTTAGGGTTGAGAGACAATATATTTCCCATCTAGCTACCTTTAGTAAATAACAGAGTCTGACTTAATTTTTCAAGCTTCTGTAGTTCATGTGAAACTCCTGATGGTAGGTCTGCGGTTCTTTGGATCTTCATGTAAATAAAACATGGTAGAATGTTCACTTTGTTGTACATGGAAGTAGAGTGTTAAGACGTGGTTTAAAAACTGACCTCAGTTACATGTGAACATTGCAATTCATACTGATAGGTTTAATTAAGTCCTGATTCAGTCATACCATAGATTTATCTGTGACTTTTTGTTGACTTGCACAAAATAACTATTAAATGATGTATTGTCAATAAAAATAGTTGACATGAAGACAGTTGATTATCTGATATTGTTTTGGACTATCATTTAATTGGTATGTGCTCTCTGACTAATAAAATATTAATAATCTTATCTGTGTCTAACGATTGGAAATCTTCCCATTCTTATCTGAGCAGATTGCAGCAATCTTGAAACTTGAAAACTTGAAACTGTTTACTTCACTAAAGCCCCCAACATGGGGTATGTTAGTACAATGAATGTTTAACAGCTGAACAAATCAACATTTGCGCAGTTAACAACATAATGAACTACAGAAGATCTGTTATTTTAGTGGAGTTTGTAGATTAGCTTCTATCAAGAGTTACCTCCCTTTAAATACACATTTCTTTTTCAGCTCACAAAATATCTCGCCATGCCTCCTATGTAGACTGGGAGAATCAGACCTACCAATGTATAGACCGACAGCACCGAGCTCTTCATGAGATAGTGAGTAGATGAGATAGGGAGTAGATGAGATAGGGAGTAGATGAGATACTGAGTAGATGAGATACTGAGTAGATGAGATAGGGAGTAGATGAGATAGGGAGTAGATGAGATAGGGAGTAGATGAGATAGGGAGTAGATGAGATAGGGAGTAGATGAGATAGGGAGTAGATGAGATTGGGGGTAGATGAGATAGTGAGTAGATGAGATACTGAGTAGATGAGATACTGAGTAGATGAGATAGGGAGTAGATGAGATAGGGAGTAGAGATATGATAGGGAGTAGTTGAGATAGGAAGTAGATGAGATAGGGAGTAGATGAGATACGAAGTAGATGAGATAGGGAGTAGATGGGTTAGCAGTGTGCGCCAGAAGCACTAACTGAACACTAGTAAAAGTTTGGTCGGGCTAGTTAATATTCTTGATTGAAAATTTTTGACTTTCTGAATGATTTTCTTATCTTTCTGTCCAAGCTTGGTTTGGTGATAAATAATTTGTTTTTTCTGGTTGCCATGTTTATATGGCTCATAAATGCGAAGAAAAAGTTGAGTTGGAAACTGTCACTGACATCCAAGAAACACTTTTGTCTTTGAATTAAGGACCCTCTGTACACCAGAGGAAGATATTTTTGGGACAGTGAGAAAATTATAGTGTGTTAAAGTTTAAATATTGAGCTTATCTATCACATTTTCAACATAGGGTACCTTTCATTTACCCCCTGGAAAAATGTTCAAAGACAATGAAGTACTGATGAACAGAAATCATTGTCGTTTACTTAAGTCAGCAAAATACCTGCAAACGAAGTGTTCAATCTATTCATCTTGGCCTATTAAAATGTTATAAATGCTTGATTTGATCACACATTAAGTAATAAACTGTACATTTCAATTTATTTTATTCTTAATCAAAGGGCAGATAACTCTATCTGCATAAAATACCACAAAATCAGAACTCTTTAATTTTCAGTGTATAGAGGGCTCTTAAAACGCACAGGTCTGAGAGTTTCTAAAGAATGGAAAATTGGTGGGCAGTGGGCCATGACTTGGTTATATATGGACATTATGTGTTGAAATGTTTATAGTGAATCAGACAGCATCCATGTGTAAAACGTACAAAGCAGTTTAAGGACCAAATGACTGACAATAAAACAAGAGAGCAGAGGGTTAATAGAAATTTAATTTTTGAAATTAAATAATGAACCTTGTTGATTAGAAAACAAATCTGTCATTTTATTCACCCTTTTAAAGGGGTTAGTAATAAGTGATTTGGGCAAGTCAAATTTTGCCATTATTATTGCTAGCCCGGCTGGGCTAGTGCTGAAAAAAGTTTTTGGTGCACACTGGATAGTGGGTACATGATTTTTCACACATATAGAATAAATAAGTTGAACTTTGTCACATTACAATTCAAATCCAAAGAGTTTGTGGAGTTTGATAATTTTGTTGGGATTCATTACCTAGCAAATTAGTATTTCTGTTGGTAAAAGTTTGATTGATTCCCTAGCAGTTATACTAAAACATCAAATGGTACACCCAAACCTACCAGAATAATAAATTGAATAAAAAAGCTTCGCCCATTAAAAAAAAATTGCGTTCTGTCCCTATCCACATCCCTGGTATTATTTTTCATCATTTAAATTTTTGCCAAGCCATACATGTATTATGTCTTTTGTTATTTATGATGTCATTTAAAACAAACTTTATTTTACAGGAAGCACTGAAAACGGTCTTCAACAAAACAAAAATCAACCTTCTGGATCCCTGTGATTTTGATGTTCTTAATGCAGGTACTCAAAGAAAAAATTTCCTTGTCAGAAAAAATGCAGAAAAAGTAGATATATACTATGTACATGTAACAGGGTTTTCTTAGTGAAGACAAACTCCTGCGGCTAAGGTTCTCATATATAGTTTATTGTGAATGTTGAATGTATTATAAACCAACAAACAAAAGCCCTGAAAATATCATAACAAATTATAAGTATTTAGAAAACAAACAAACATATTACATTTATAATGATATTCATGAATTTAGGCATGAATTACTTTATAATAATCGATCATAAAAATATTACACATTATACTGAGCATTGAAATAAATACATGGAGAAATAAGAGTTATTTCCCTTACACCAACGTATTGAAAACGAGAATATAAATTGAACTATTATAAACAGAACTATTACAATAAAATGAATAGTTCACAAATCTATTTACGATAATATATACACAATAAATAGAAAATAATAGCAGGTATACCTGATTGTGGATCAGGGTTCAAACAATAGGCCACCCGATAAAAATAACGGGTCTTGATATATAGACTCCTATTAAACAATAATTATATTCTATATACACTTCTGCATAATTGATATTTTATTTACATACTCAAAGAATTTATACTTTAAGCTTCATTTAATAATGATAAAGTTGAACTCAGTATATCTTCACAAAATTACATTAAAAATCAAAGACAATGAATTATCGGAAAGTATATAATAAGAATTAGTATAGATAAAAGAAGTAGAAGTCAACTTACAGTCTCTGTCCCGAGGTCTCATCTCAATATTAGGTATAGTAATAATAATAATGACCACAATATGTATATCTTTCTCAATGGTCTCTAGATGTCTAAGTGATCAAACAAAGAGATCGGCGGGAAAACGTCCCTAACCAATCGCAAGCTTGGTTATTAAAACTGACCAATAACATTATATACCCTCAGGATAAGTAAGAACTTCTAGAACATAAGTAAAGATTAAAACCAAATGAAGTTGTAATATTTTATTAATTTTATTAACGGTGTGCGCAAAACTCCGCGAAAACGAAATGCTGCGGGATGCTAAAAATGAAATATATACATGTGAATATTAAGTCACTGGACTATATAATATAAAGTTCCCTTAATAAAATAAATTAAAATATCACTCTATCACATACATGTACATCTTTGAATTTCCTATTCCAACTTTGTGGTTTTTTAGCTCACCTCAACGAAGTCGAGATGAGCTTATGCTATACCCCAGGCGTTGGCTTTAGCGTCGGCGTCCCGGTTAAAATTTTAGGAGCAAGTCCATTCCCAAGTAACTATAAGCCCTACCTGGACCAAACTTGCATGAATGATGCATCTAGGGATGGACACTACCACACTTGCTTCGGATGCTGGATCTGACCTAGATTTTCCAAATGAGTGACCAGGTTAAAGTTTTTGGAGCAGTTCCATTCCCAAGTAACTATAAGTCCTACCTTGACTAAACTTGGATGGATGATGCATCTAGGGATGGACACTACCACACTTGCTTTGGATGCTGGATCTGACCTAGATTTTCCACATGAATGACCAGGGTAAAGTTGTTGGAGCAAGTCCATTCCCAAGTAACTATAAGCCCTACCTAGACCAAACTTGCATGAATGATGCATCTAGGGATGGACACTACCACACTTGCTTCGGATGCTGGATCTGACCTAGATTTTCCAGATGAGTGACCAGGTTAAAGTTTTTGGAGCAGGTCCATTCCCAAGTAACTATAAGTCCTACCTTGACTAAACTTGCATGGATGATGCATCTAGGGATGGACACTACCACACTTGCTTTGGATGCTGGATCTGACCTAGATTTTCCACATGAATGACCAGGGTAAAGTTGTTGGAGCAGGTCCATTCCCAAGTAACTGTAAGTCCTACCTTGACCAAACTTGCATGAATGATGCATCTAGGGATGGACACTACCACACTTGCTTCGGATGCTGGATCTGACCTAGATTTTCCACATGAATGACCAGGTTAAAGTTTTTGGAGCATGGCTGTTCCCAAGTAACTATAAGCCCTACCTGGACCAAACTTGCATGGATGATGCATCTAGGGATGGACACTACCACACTTGATTGGGATGCTGGATCTGACCAAGATTTTCCACATGAGTGACCAGTTTAAAGATTTTGGAGCAGGTCCATTCCCAAGTAACTTTAAGCCCTACCTGGACCAAACTTTCATGGATGATGCATCTAGGGATGTATAGTAACTCACCTGCTTCGGATGCTGGATCTAACATAGATTATCCACATGAGTGAATTTTAGCCATATTTTAACCAAATTAGCATGGATGATGTATCTAGGGATGGATACTTCCAGACTTGCTTTGGATTCTGAATCTGACCTACATTTTCCAGATGAGTGACCAAGATTATTTTTTGGAGTAGCAATATAATATTATGGCCTGCTATGATAAACTTTGTATAGATGGTGCATCTAAGGATGAAAACTTCCAGACTTGCTTTGGATTTTGGAACTGACCAAAATTTTCTTGAGTAGTAAACAGGTTAAAAGTTTTTGAGCAGGTCTATTTCCAAGTAACTATAAGTCCTACTTAAATCAAACTTGCATGGATATTGATCTTTGGAAAAACTAACTGGAAAAAAAATATGATGTGAAATTTGCATTACTTATAGGTAACATTCGTCAAGATTCGTAATCTTTGATTACCTATGTTGTTTTTTTGGGGGGAGGGGGGGTGGTGCTTGAATTTCATTTTTTTTTTCATATTGACATGTTCTGAAAGGGAGAATGATCCTTTGTTCAGTAATAATCTAATATAATGTTTTTTTTCTGTAAATTTGACAAATTTCCAACAGTAAAAAAGATAATTGAATTGCAATCAAATTTAATAAATCACATGGAGCAAAATTCAATACAAAGCATTGTTGAAAATTTAATGAGCTATCCAGTGTAGAGTTGTCTCTCTTGGCTTGGTCAGTCCTCCTGACATTTGACACACCTTGGCTGAATACATCCAACAGTACATGTACTGTTATCGGCTGAGGTCAGTTGAATGCCCTCCTGAAGCCCTGTGAATCCACTTTCAGTTGTGTGTGAGATTTTGTCTGTGTTGACAGTTTGTAACATACTTGCATTAGAGAAATCAGTGAGTGTGTCAGTGAGACTTCACAAGATTGCTCAGATATCAGTAGTAAATTTATGGGTTTTCTTTGGAATCATGATAAAAGATTTATAAAAATAATTATTTCATGATGTTTACTACAATGTTTATTCCTCTATAAATTGGTGTCCTTTAGGAAAGAAAGTGTAGATGGGGATGGGTAATTTTTTTTTCCATGGACACATGAATGAAAGAGTTGAACTTTAGTATCACAAACACCAATATATCGAAAACCATGGATATGTGTTGAAAAGAGTTGGAAGTCCCATCTGCTTTTTCTTTATGCATTTTAACCTTGATACCTAAAATTATGAGACATCTCGAAGTTTTTTTCTCGGTCCCATTGAGTTTAAAATAGTGAGGTTTGACTGTAATAATTAATGTTTACTTATATTTACTTATATTCAGATTCAAGTGTGGAGGAGGCAGTACAGAGGAGATTTAACAGTCCCAGCTCTGAGGTACCACCAGGGTCACTGTTTTACAGTAAACCACACAAACTACTGCTGGTCAAATGTAGGGTAAGTGCAGTATAAAATGGGCTATTAATATTAACTACAGTATAAAGGCTTATTAGCCCCTTACAACGAAGTTGGAGGGGGTACATATATACCAATGCTCTTATGAATGTGAGAGAGAGAGTGTCAGTGCATGCATAACAGAAGTTTCACAAGTAATAATTCACACAGGGATCAATATGCTCCTTTGCAAGGGGTTGCAGTGCCCTTGTCTTCAATGCAGTTTTGTTTACAGTATTTTCACAGCGAAATAAAACTTTCAAGTGAAAAATAGTGAATTTGATATACATTAATGTATAATGAAATAAAGAAGAAAATGCAAAACTCAAGTGGAAATAGATTTTGTTAGTACATGTATAGGAAAATTGGAAAATATAAACCACAAAGAAATTAATAGTTTTGTAGATATTTGAGATTGAAAAGCTTGTCAAATTCAAGTTTTAACTTAGACCTAGAAGTCAAGAAAAGAATTTTATCATCGTAGGATTTACATGTAGTACTGCAATGGACATTGTGTTTTAGTCAAACGGTTTATGAACACAGTTTAAAACACAAGCTAATGATAAAAAATCTATGATTTTCTCATATGAATTTCTGTTGCAGGATGGTTGGACAGGGTTTGGAAGTGTTATAATAAGAAAGAGACAGAGTGCCATGGATTTCTACTGTGGATATCTCCAAAAGAATCTGGAACCAAGATTCCAGAGTCTTGATAATGGAATACAATTTAACCTGGATCTCATGACCCCTAGGGTACTACATAGTCAGACAATGCCTCTTAAAGTAAGGGAGGGATGTTATACAGACCTAAAAGTGGGTCATGGTAGCTGACCGTAAAATGATGATGGAGTACAGGTCAATCTGGATCTCATGACCCTGATGTTTCTACATAGTGAGGCAGTGCCCCATGGAGTCAGGGAGGAGTTTACAGACCTTTCAGTGGGGTCATGGTAGCTGACCATAAAATGGGTCATCACATAAATGCTGACCGTAAAGTAAAATTTGATGGCTGATTTTGATAAAACTGAAAGGAACCATCATTTTACTGAAAATTCTCTTAGGACTAAATGACATGGAAGTTCATGGGACTGAGTGCCAGAAGTAAATGATTGTAAAAAATTTTTAGTACCTTTTTTGGCAATTTCAGCATATTTTTCTGATTCAATGAAGGAGAATGATTACATGCTAATAATGAAGTAGAAATCCCTAACTAGAGTTGTCATTCCTTGTCACACCATACATGTACACTGGCTCCAGAATCATGAAACATCAGCTAAAGTCAAAATCTATATATTGAACTGAAATTATGTTGACAATCCATAATGAAAATGTTATTCAGCATTGCATCATTAAACTATTGTTATCAGCAAATTAAGAGATTAATTTACATTTTACAGATAATTTAGATTGCTTCATGATCCCTGTTTTTTGGGGGGAATTTTGTAACTGACAGATATGTTTTATGAATGATTTAATGAATATGGTAAATAAACCATAGTGAATGTGATTGCAAGATAATTAGATATAGAACTTTTTATATGCATGGAAGTGATACATGTGCATGTATATTTGTGTGATTGAAAATGGTTTATGTGATGTGTACAGAGTATTTGTATCTTAAACAAAATACATTTTAATACTGATCACAGTTAGAAGTCATAATCCATTTTGGAATTTTAATGTCTTCCATCCCAAAAATATGAAATGATGTCCAATTTTTATGATGATTAGTTAATTCTTTCATGTTAATGAAGTGGGTTTTTGCCTTTAAAAATTTGCCTTATCAAGAAGTCGATGAATGGAAAAATGTTTTCTTCAACTATCTTTGATTGAATTTTCAATAGAAGAATATAATGATGAATCCTAAACATGAATTTTTATGCATGGAATAAGTTTTCATTGTCCATTTCCTTGCTCTCTTATGAATGGTTAATAGAAGGGTGAAGGCATCGTACTGTCATACACTATTTATTGATATTCTACTGGTTAATAATGCTAATTATTGGTAGGATGTGAATATATATATGTACCATTACAAAATACTGTGATATGTAAATAATGAATACGAGTCTGATGTCCCAACCTTAGGAATTCAAATGTAGGTTTTAATTTATCAAAACCTTGTTTATCTCCATTTTTTTTTTTTTTCGACTAGTTTCTCTAGGATCAAAACATAAGTGTTGTATTACATCACGTACCATATTAATGAATTTATAAGCCTTTGCTTTCTCAAAGTTTAAAATTTTTATGAGACTTAAGCTTGACAGCACTATGTAATATCAAAGTTAATAGAGAAAACTGTATTTCCTCAATTTATTTAAAAGATAATAAAGAGATCATAAACATTTTGTTGGAGTGTGATGATTTTTTTTTTCAATGAAATTTCTTTTGCTTGTAATTCCAGTGTGGTCCGAATATATATATATATTGCCATAATCATGGGATGTGTGAATTAACATGTATTAGAACTTTCAGTATTTAGAAGATTTACTGATGAAAGTGATAATTACCCCTCCCCCCTCTCCCACACACACTGACAGTCACATAAACCTAGGGGAGGGAACTGTATGCAAACCACCTTCTCAATGAGATATATACATGTAGGTTGGGTAATCATGGTAATTAATATTTAAGCCCCCCCCCCCTTTCCTGCAATATCATGCAAATTAAAAAATGTAAAGGTTAAAAACATATATATTTGATGTTTAATATACTATCCGCTCTAAGAAGTTTTTTGAGTGATTTCATGTTCTTAATTTTAGTCACTGCCTCCATCTATCATATTGAATTAATTGCATGCATATGCAGTTTGCATGTACATTAAGGTTTCTGGCTGGGTTAATTGGAATTTAATATTTGTAAAAACTTGTACAGAAAATAATTTTAAAAGGATTCATTGATAAATTTTGTTTTTACAAAAATCGGCGTAATGGATCTACACACAGTTTGAAATTGTTGAATTTTTAAAGCTTGATGTCAAATTAACCTATGTTTCCATCGATTCGTTATAAAACAGCATGTGTGAAGGTCGGGAAAATACCATTCACGGCTTACCGCCCTGTTGTATACAAACGAGGCCCCGATTAAGCATACTGCATGTTTTTATTTATAACGCGTATTTTTGCTAAAGTAATAAAAACAGGTGCGTGCCACGCCATATTTCAAGAGATTATGAAAAATCATATCCAACTTGCGTTCTGTTACAATGTTTACGCTATTGTAAAGTATTATTTTTACAAAATCTGGCTGTGGGAATGGAAAGTAGTATATGTTAAATAGGTGTCCCATATTAGGAAAATTTTGACTACCAAATATGGTGACCTCCAAATATGGCGTTTCCATTCATTATAAATGCAGAACGCGTCCTGTCATGGGATTCATCTGTGACTTTTTTTTTAAATAGCAAAATACAATGTTAAATATTGAAAGTTTTTACATGTATTAATCATAACCTCATACAACGTACAATGTTCACGCTATACACATACAGGATTGAATTTTCAATTCAAGATTGACGTTTGTGGATGGAGTTACATAATCTAAGCGTCATATCCTTAACAAGTATACATGTAAACATCATGCAGTTTAGCCCATGTATAATTGTTGTGCATTCGTCTTATTAAATGCATGAGTTTATGATTAATTTTTTTCCTAAATTGTGTTCTCATCTATACACATAATAACCATATCTTGTGTCCTGGTATTTCGACTTTAGATATTGATTTGATTCTTAACACTGTAGGTGTACCGTTGTTTACAAATTTAACTACTGATATGCATGACGTACACATCCCTTGATTCAAGACAATAGTTTCTTAATTTCAAAGCATCAGAGACACCAATGAACAATGATGAAAGCACATTAATTGAAAAACATCTGGAACACTTTTACATGTCTCCTTAAACAGTGTTAAAGCATTTAATTTATATCCAACAATATTACTTGATCGAGCTTCTATATCGATCTAATTCTATAAAAAGGGTAAGGAAGACGTATGCAGGCATTTGAAAGCCTCCATGCAGTTTCATGACAAAATTTCATCGCTTACGTGTTGGTTAGGTGTAAAATAACAAAAATTTGGCATACATGCCGCCGCCATTTCGACTGAAAAATGTTTTCAATGTTTACCACTTAGAAATTTATTATCATGATTATTTTGAAATTATATACTGCTTTAAATCCTTTGATCTAGTTGATTCACACACACTTAACGGTAATAATTCAAGCGTACTATAGCTAGCATGCTATAGGATAAGGCATCTGCCATATTAGGAAAATTTCTTTGTCCAAATATGGAAGCCATGTTTCTTCCAAATATGGCACATGGTGGGAATTTGATGTTTTATAACTAAAATTTATTGATTTAAGTAATAAAACTTTATTGCAAATGATAATGTCTATATACTAATATGATACCAATTAAAATTAAATTGAAATAAAGTCAAATGAGTGCATTGTAAGAGATTGCATCACCCATAGGACTTGTTTACAAATTCCTAATAAGGGCGAGTGACCTTCGCTGTGCACCGAACCGTGAAGTCGGCGAGACAGATTGTTACACATCAGGCGGAAACATCTAAATCGAGGCCAAAGAAAAGATATGTCTGTATTCATATCAGGCGTGTATTGATCGATTTCCTTTAACACTGATGTTTGTGCAATCAATATTTTGCAATTAGAATAGTATAATTGGATATCTTGTATTATATGCATTTCTAATGTATAAGTGGGGACAATAAATTCTCATAGAGCATGTAAAAGCACGATTAATTGCTGAATTTAATAAACGTGTGTATAAACAAGCTTTGAGAAACTGTATAGTTTTGATGAATCAATATAAAACAATGTTTATCTTGTATGTGTACTTGCACGTCGCATTACCCCATTATGCTAACAAATTTGACTGACATTTCTAAACAGGAAAACTTAAAAAATATCGTCAAAAATCACAAAATAAGTTTGGCGTGCACTTAATCACGCGCAGTCTCCATGATCAATCTTTTCCAAATAAGGTCAAGTAATCCTAATATGGGAGACGCCTAGAGCAATGTATTTTAATGACATTAATGGAAGACTAGTTCTACACATGTATTTGCTTAGTGCGTGTATAAAAGACATGAGAGAGCGACTCGTGTTTCATTTTATAAGCTAGACGGGTTTTACACATGTTAAATTAAAAAAAAAATTGAAAGATTTCCAATTACAGTATAACTGCTAATTACATTTAATATTAAAAGTGCATGTATAAAATTATTTTCGAAATTCAACGTATATATATATATATATATACAAAAAAAATTACAGACTAAAAACAAATTAAAACTATTTTCAAAACTCTTCTCGTCAATAAGATTTTTTTTATACTATAGCTGTTTTCAATGCAATTTCTTGACAAAGTGTCCAGTTTAAAGAATTTGACCTAGAAACGGAGTGGCCAGGTCATCTGACCCGAGTAAAAATTCATATTTCGGTCATTTACAAATACATCACTTATAATAGCAAAGTACAAAGTCCGTAGGTTTCTCGTCCATAAAATTAAATGCTATTTTTGAAACAGTGCATGTGCATATATGTGTTTTGTATATTATAGGAATGCGCGGTTCATTGAAGTACAAACTTTTCATTAATTGTTTCAGAATTAAATTTATAGCTTTACATATAAAATATACCTGTAATGGTTGCGTAAAGCAGAAAAAGATAAAGTATATCTCGATCCTTGTTTTCATACTCTGTGAAAAAAAAATATTGTGTGTGTTGGGTGAGAGTGTGGGTGGGTGTCTTCAATAAAAAAATATAATTTAAAAAAAAAATCAAAAATAAATTCCTAGCTGTGGTCGAGGACCTTTAATTTACATCCATTGTTTTTTCCACCCATTTCTTCTGTACGGATATAATCAATGATATATATACATTTTAACCAAAAATGATTGTAACTTAATTGACTTTTGAGCGCCGGGATTATATGGAATTTTACAAATAATTTTTTTCCATGTGCACTCTTAATTCTTACACCAACTTTCGCGTTTCATGGGGAGGGGAGCACAATGCATTATTTGGCTCCTTACTGTATACAACAATGTAACATATACTTCTCAGTGAAAATCCCGGGGGAGGGGGGGGGGGCTGACACGTATATAACCCCTCCTTCTGCTGGATCTGCTACTGAATGGGCATTAAACTATACATTTTTTTAACTATAGTTCTAACCGGTTAGTTAATTATGGTTACTGATTAAACTATTTAAAAAAAATATTAATAATATTGATAAACATGTACTAGGCTGTATTATCATACGAATTAACTTATTGATTGAATGACATCGACAAAAAATTATGCAGTATTGTTTTACTATTTGACTCAAGCAGTAGTAGTACTTGTAGTAGACGCGTGTAGTAATGAATGAAATTCGAACAATACTATGGCTTCCATATATTAATATAGATCTATTGCATCATGCACGGTCTTTCTCATGATTAACTGCATCACGGTGAGGCATCAAAAATGTCTAGAACATTTTGAAATTCTGCATGCAATTTCTATTCAGTGTCTAATTTTTATCCGCAAATTATTGCACTCAAATTTATTTTCAATAAAATGAAATGAGTTGACCTCATTAACAATGAACTCGCTTGTCTAGCTATTATGTCACAAAACACCATTCGCTAGAAACGTGGATCAACTGATGACCCCAGTTATCTCCATTCTGATTGGTCGACCTTATACCTCAGCCAATCACAACGTAGAGAGACCATTGCGGATAGTATAAAATCTCGCAGAGACAAATTTTCTTCCTCACTCGTTGCAAATCGAAGTTTGGATGAGGATCGGTTCGAATAGTTCATTCAAAAGACACTTTATTTACAACAAACGGAAATAGTCATGGCGGAAAGAGTTATCAATTTTTCAGCTGGACCTGCAAAACTCCCTAGGAAGGTATAATTTACGCTTTTTCTATATATGCATGGTGCAGGGCCGCTGTAGTAAAATAATGTTATTTTTGGGAATTTTCCCCTTTAGCAGCTTCAGTGAAGAGGGGGACAGTTTTAAGGACATGAATTTAATAATAGTTTTTGAGATTTATTTATAATTGATTTTTAAGGGGGAGACTGAAAGGAAAATAATGTACAAACAATTTTTATTTTTAAAATGCACTTATTTAGAATCATAAATAAATAAATAAATAAATAAATAATAATAATAATAATAATATATATATATATATATATATATATATATATATATATATATATATATATATAATAATAATAATAATAATATATATATATATATATATATATATATATATATATATATATATATATATATATATATATATATATATCTTCATTTTTGTGTATTTAGAAAAAAAGGAAAAGTAATAAACTTATTTTTTTATGACTTAAAAAAAATACTTTTAGAGATTAATTATAGCACACTTTATTTAATTTATTTAAATGCATATCGTTAATTTTAATTTTATGAATTCAAAAATTTGGAAGGAAATTATTTTGATGATCTAACAACTTCAACAGGTTCAAATGCAATCTTAACGAATTTTGGATATCGTTGATCAATATTACTCAGACTTAATCAATGAATTCTGATTTGACAGGTGCTGGAAACTGCACAGAAGGAAATGCTCAATTATAACAACACAGGAATTAGTGTCATGGGTGAGTAATTAATTAGTGTAATTAACAATTTCATTAAAACCTGAGGAAAAAACTCAACAAGTTGAGTGAAACTGAGACTAGACTTTTCTTTTTTTAATCCCTAACTGTGTGACATGGGGGAAAATTAATTTTTAACTAGTCTAATTTGCTCATAAAGTCTATAAAAATATTGACTTTGAATTTGAACTAAAAAAAAAATGCCCATTTTTTTTAAATTCACAACTGCATGAATTGAGTACAGTAGAAAAGTAAATGTTTGCCATGTTTTACATGTATGGAAGTTTTAACTTTATATTTCAGAGCTAAGTCACAGATCAGCAGATTTTACGAAGATAATAAATGCTGCTGAGAGAAACTTTAGAGAATTATTGTAAGATTTAATTGCTTCTACCAAAATTAACAATCATTATGAGTTAAGTGTGTCTATTAATTTGTTTGGAGTGATCATGATAGTTAATGCCCCAAATTCATAGATCCACACCTTTAATTTATACGAAATTATATGTGGCCTTTAAACTTAAACATATGTTTTCTAATTTCAGAAATGTTCCCGATAATTACAAAGTCATTTTTAAACAGGGGGGTGGCACTGGTCAATTCTCAGCAGTCCCCCTGAATCTAATGAACTTGGGGCCTGCGGCTAAGGCCGACTACATCATCACAGGGTCATGGTCAGCTAAAGCTGCAAAAGAGGCTGAAAAATATGGAACTGTGAACCATGTGCTTCCTAAGCTGGATTCTTATACATGTAAGTGAATGCTCAGTACAGAATTATAAATATTGGTATATTAGACAACTGGGTAGGAGCTATGCTCAGAAAAAAAAGTTATAAAGGATGTTTCTATCACACTGCAAAAATGGACTATTTCAGGAATTGCTTGATTTTTGTTCAGTTTCTTGTTAAAATACTCAAGAAAAATTCTTTATAATTCTCAGAAAAAGCTGACTGAATTAATTACAAAGACATTTTATTATTTAGGAGTCTGACTGCCACTTTCGATAGATCAACATAATCAATTTCACTTCACCAAATTGAAAGCTGAAGTATGAAACTTGTAAAGATTTTAGTAACTTTTTAATTTACAGATATTCCTGATGCCAGTAAGTGGTCACTTAGTCCAGATGCTTCATATGTGTATTACTGTTCTAATGAAACAATCCACGGAGTTGAATTTTCTGATATCCCAGAAACAAACGGTGTTCCCCTTGTTTGTGATATGTCCTCCAATATTCTGTCCAAACCAATAGACGTATCAAAGGTTAGTGTTTGTAATAATAATTGTGTTAAATAAACACAATGTCCTTTATAATTTTGAAGGTTGGCAGTTTCATGAAGCTGTCTGTGAGTTTTTTGGGGGGAGAAGGGGGAAGAATCTTGTAAAAAAAAAATTTGAAGTATAATCCCAATTTTTATCAAATCTTTGTAAAATACTTAGAAGGTTTCAAAAATGTAAATCTCTTGTTTGTAATGTGTTGCAGTTTGGTGTGATCTTTGCTGGTGCCCAGAAGAATATGGGCTGTGCGGGTGTGACCCTTGTCATTGTTAGAGAGGATCTCCTGGGCAAGGCCATGCCACAATGTCCTGTCACACTGGACTACAAAATACAAGTGGGCAACAATTCACTCTACAACACAGCTCCCACCTACAAGTATGTTTGAGTTCTGATGTTTTATTTCCTACCCATAAAATGTTGGAACCTCAGCTGTTGCATTCACATTGACTATTAATTGTCGCTTTCACAATGACTATTAATAATTATTATGCTTCCTGTCAGTTTGTCTCTACATAGTCAAAACCCAACTATTTTTGCATAGTGGTCTAAGGATTTATATAGCGTAAGCATACTATGCCGAAATAGACCACGGCTTCTTTTTCTGAAGAAAATCCGACAGCGCCCACGCCGGGGATCGAACTCACGACCCCAGGATTATCAGTCCGACGCGCTACCGATTACGCTAGAGACGCTGTTATCTATAACACTGTATTATAATATATATAAACTTAGTTTCAAAGATTTTACACTAAAAGAAAAAAAAATAAACAAAATAATTTTTATAAAATAGGATCTTGCAATTTTTTACCCTTCACACAACTAAATTTCTCAACTATTTGTACATGGAACATTCAAAATATTAAAGACAAAAGATTATGACGTACATGTAGCACAACGTGACGTCATAATAGGGGTGTACTAACATGAATGTAAGAGGTGATGAAACATTGGAAAGGGAGAAAATATTGTCGTTTTTATACAACAGTCAGCATAATAATAACAATAGTGTTGTACTTTGCATGCACTATGCCTAAATAGAAGTCAGGGTTTGACACATAGTGCACTCGCCTCCGGCTCGTGCACCATGTGTCAAACCCTGACTACTATTTAGGCATAGTGCATGCAAAGTACAACACTATTATATAATGAGTCGACTTGAATTTTGTTTGTAATTTTATTAAAAAATTGCAAAGTCACATTTTTTAAAAATTTTAATGAAACAGCAATTACTAAATGAATCTAGAATATATGTTAGGATTTACATAAAATCATTTTCTAAGATTGACATTTTATGTTTTGACTGTTTTTTTCAGCATCTACATCCTGGGTTTGGTTCTACAGTGGGTAAAAGATGAGGGCGGTGTTCAAAAAATGGCAGAAAACTCCAAACAGAAGTCGGAGGCGGTGTACAACGCCATAGAAAAATCTAACGGGTTCTACCAGTAAGAGTCTTTACACAAATCCTTCAAAAGAAAAAGCTACAAGTCCCATCACATTTATTCTATTCTTTAAAAACTATAAATTGGTTTGCCTGACTGTTTCATACTGAATGTAGAAATTCTGTGAGCTTGTATGTGAGGCGTGTTCATTAACATGAAGAAAACTACTATCATGTTCTACCTATGATTATTATAATTTTTGGACTTGGGGCAATTGAGCTCCCATGTTTGAGGTAATTCTGTACTTTTGTAATCAGTTGATGTCAATTTTAATCATTTTGAATGCTTTTTTTTTTTTCAGTGCCACAGTGGAGGCTCATTGTCGCAGTCGTATGAACGCCCCATTCAGAATAGGGGGGCCAGATGGGGATGAAGCATTGGAAAAGAAATTTTTAGAAGAGGCCAGCAAGAAAGGAATGATTCAACTTAAAGGACACAGGTAATTAAAGGGTCAGAGTTCTTAAGTATTAAAGGGACCTTCCAGAGGGTCTTAAGGCCTTATCGGGGTTTAAATGTCAAAATTGTAAGGGAAGGAAAAACGTAAGTTGCAATTTTCATCATGGACATGCTTCGATATTTTCTACCTTTTTAAGAGCATACATGTATATGCGTATGATTATACATTTAAGTATTCATTCAAATTTATGCATTTATTAATGATATCAAGTAATTCCAAGCAGGAATTTTCTGAGCAAATTTACAAGTCAGTGTTTTAAGGGTCAATACTTTAGCAGTAATGTTGTATTTATTTCCCTACAGATCAGTGGGAGGAATTCGAGCCTCGCTATACAACGCACTCTCTCTAGAGGAAGCCAATCTCTTAGTCAGCTTCATGCAGGAGTTCTACATTCAACACAAGTCCATAACATCATGTCAAGGTTAAAGATATTTTTAGCTTATCTGACCTTAGGGTCAAGGACATGTCATCCAGATGAGTTGAATGTGTGTTAGGTCAAGGTGTGTAGAAAAGGCATTACAGTTCATGTGTAGACAGTACCTAGTGCTAAGATCTGCCTGTTTGTTTTATAAATTGTATTGGGGGCCAGGCTTACTGGATGTTGTATTTTCTGCACAATATAAGGCATCAGGGGCTTTTAAATGCAATTTGACAATATTGAGCTCATTTAAGATATTCTATGCAATAATATACTCGATGAAATTTGTTTAATTTATTGTACAGTATCGGCATTTTATTTGTTTTGACTTGTACTTTTTTTTAACAAATTGCAGATTTTTAAAACATTTGTTGTTAACTGTTGCAATGCCAAAGAAAGATATTTTATTGTGCATAAATTTGACTCTTCATTGTGAATACATGTACGCGTGAAATGAGCAGAATGTATGCTAATACTAAAGTTAGTGGTGTGTGAAGGTTTATTTCTTATGTTGAAAGATTGCAAGATGAGATGAGAGCATTTCAAATGAATCATTATACATGTAATGTCACACTTTTTGTCATAACTGAATTTTCTCCATTTAAAATTATATCCATGGCATGAGTTCGGTATAGAAGTTGCTTGTTTGAGATGAATGAAAGGCAATTTATTTTTGACAAACTCCGATCAAATTTATTTTGTTTTTGTATTGTTGAATTATATTGTGGTTGTAATGTACTTAAAATGAATAATGTACCCTTGTTTTTCAAGGGTCTTTAATAAAAGTAGATAAAATAGTCTTTCATATTTAGCAGGTTTTCAGATATTTATCAATACAACTCGTAGATCTCTGGAACTACCTTGTACAAACTGTAATACAGTCGAACCTCCTTGTCTCGAACTCAAAGGGACCATGAAAAAACGAGATATCCGAGGAGGATCGAGGGTAAAATACTTAAAGAGTAAGTGGTTGGGACTTGCAAATCACTTCCACATATTCATGGTATTCGAGATACCAGTTTTCAAGATACTGAAGTTCAACTGTATTACCTTTCAGCCCCCGACTCGAGCTGAAGCTGTGTAAATGCAGATGTGAGTAGTAAGGTGATGGGGAAGCATCATATTAAAATGCAGAAGCACTTCCAAGTTAATGACTTGTGAATTAGGTAATCTCAAACTTTGTTAGGCTGTCTACAAGGTTAAGTGGAAGCAACTTTGGGGCACTGACTTCATTGTTATCCGACAACCTCGATATTTTTCAAAATTTCAAGGTAACATCAGTTAAATTCTGTAGATTCTTTTCTCTAAAAACAAAGGTAATCAAAGATTAATGAAGCTTATCTTGAGAAATATAATAAGGCAAAGTCTGGTACAAAACAATTGTTCTACTAATCTGCGTACATCTGAGATCTACAAGTTAAATCTTTGGGTTTGGTCAATATTTACCTTGGCATGGTCCAGGGTCCCTGTTTCTGCCCTGTTCACTGTTAGTATTGTGTACAAGATTTATGACGTAGAGATCATAGTTCATTAGCTTTACCTTTCTCATTATAGTTTCCGCTACTTGGAAATGATCCTGTTCCATTCCCAAGTCAATCCACACAAAGTGGAATCAGATTTCAGGTACTGTATACAGGGTTATTTTCGCTTTTCACGCGTGCAAATAATTTTGCTGTTTTAATTTTGCCCAATCTCATTCTGTTTAAGAAATTAGACTGTTTTGTGAATTCACCCCATTTTAAATTCGCCCACCTGTGAGTAGGGAGAAGGGGCAAAATTTCCCTGTAAACAGTATCAAAATAATAATAATCTAAAAGGAATGACTGAAGTTATTTCATATTTAAAATAATTTAATGTTAGAACAATATTCAAAATTTTTGACATTTCTAGGCAATGTTTAAAATCATACATACATGTACTCTTCCACTGTTAACAAAATTGCAAATCCAAAGTGTCAGAATAGATTAATTTAAAATATTGGTGCACATATGTGTAAACCGCAAGGAGTAAAACATTGTAACACATTTCACTATATTTCAATAATTGTTTATGTATGCACCATTATTTCTATCTATTTCATATTTGAATTTTCATAGATCTTAATAAATTTAAATGATTCATAATCTATATATATATACTCTACATGTTACAAGAGGCCATATGTCGAAATGTGTACAGTACTTTTGTCTTTGAAATGTCCACAGTATAAAGAGTCATAATTCACATCAACTCATTAATACAAGTCTCTGATTTGATTTCACAGTAATTTGAAAGTTTTAACATACATATTGTTTTGTTCTACAGCATACTGAAGTATATAATTCATACGCTTCATTTCTTTAAATTAAGTATCCAATCATCGTATGTTTTAGATGATGTAATTGATGATAAAGTAGATGCGTTCCTACACCTGCAGTATAAGCCCCTTCCCTGTACACCATAGAATCTAAGATATATCCACTGTCAATGGCTTTCTCCTTTTTTGCCAGCAACCTGCAAAAAAAAAAACCATTACATACATGTATATACAGTAAAACTTGTCTAATCTGGATGTTGTACATTCCGAGAGCTTGCCTATTCAATAACTCCAAAGTAAACTTTTAAGTCCATTTCAGTAAATTTAATTGTTTGCAATTCTGGCCAATTAAAGTGGATTAGACAATTGTAACTGTTTACAGTACTTTTTCCTTACATTACTGTATACAGGGAAATTTTTGCCTCCTTTTTATTTTTGCCCCTTTTGCCCTACCCTTAGTTGGGTGAATTTAAACAAGGCAAATTCAGAGAATACAGTATAATTTCTTAAACAGAACTATCAGCAGGCCTGTAGGAAGCAATTTCAGTTGGGGGGGGGGGGGGGGTTACACAGCCATACATTTTCAGTTGAGGGGGCACTATCAACTACCAAAATTTCTTTGACAAGCAAAAAAAAAAAAAAATAAAAAAAGGGGCAACATTGAGGTTTTATTGAAGCATACAGTATCTATGTTTTCTATAGTACTATATATATTGCTCCCCCCCCCCCCCCCCCCCCCCCCCCCGGGTCCTGCGGCCATGCTATGGCTGAACGAATTTAAAATGGGGCAAAACTGTTTGGAAGTGTGAAAGAGTGAAAATAACACAAAGCAAAAATACGGTAATTCTGTATACATAAGTTTATACACAACATCTGAATAATGTATACAAGGTTATTTTGCCTCATCACACTTGCAGACACAGTTGTGTTAAAAGAGAAATAACTCTATCTCTGTTGATTTCACCCCATTTGAATTTGACTGCTGACTGCAAGAGTGAAACAGATAAAAGTAAAACGAGTGTGAAAATTTCATAAGATTGTAAAGAGATCTCTTTTAAAAGCTATTGCTGGGACTTTTTTTCAAATTAAAGTACATGTACAGGGTTGCTTGTTAATATTTTTGTAAATATCAAAATTAACTGCACCCTAGCAGGGCTTTAACATTGTGGTTTAAATCAAAAGATACATTAAAATTCCCAGGAGAACTGGTGAATTGATACATGTTGTATGCATTCATCTTGAAAAAAATAAAATAAAAAAAAAAACCTGCCTGCATCAAGGTGGCCCAAGAACCACTTGTTTATTTGGCCTAATTATTCAAGCTGACTTTTCGTGACCCTCCACATATTGTCCCATGCTTTACAATGTTACTTAAGTACTTACCCTTTTAAATTCAGCCATATTTGTAGTGTCTACCGGAGAACCGACAAAACCAAAGTAATCTATCTGTGTGGTTTCTGAACCAGATTGGTTGTCTTTGATAAATACCTAAAATAGAGGAAATAATGAAATTTATGAACTTAGGTACTGCACGGACTACAGAAATGAGATTTATTGCACAGTGACACAGTTTAATTTGATTTTTGCAAGTTTGAACCTATAAATATGATACCCCTTCATTTCCAGTTTTACTGAGTTTTTACCCTGATCAACATACACAGAAGTTCAAGAAAAACTAAATAAAAAGCAGATACTGTACTATGAATTCACTTATTTTTTTGTTGGTTAATTTTCCTTGCTTTTGTGTTATGAAGAGACTACAAAATTCATGAACCCCTCTGAAATAAACCAATATTTTTTTTCCTCAAACAGCCAAACTTTCACCCCACAAAATAAGTGATAAAGGCTATGATTCTCACATAATTTTACTTACTGTGACATTTCCAACATTCTGAAATTTGACAAAACGTAGAGGTATAAGTGTCCCTTCCTTCAGATCTGCTGGGGTCAGTCTGTAAAACAGGACATGAAGAGTTATCTTCCTTGACAAAATAACACTCCCTTTTTTTAATGGGAAAAAAGCTATCTCCCTTCAAAAATTATGGAATTTTTCTGAAATGATGATTGTTTTCTGTGGGAAGAGGGAGACTAAATAAAATTTAATTAGACGTAGCGTACCACTTAAGATAAATCATTACATGTATCGAGTCGAAAAATAAATGAAACAGTGAATTATCAAATGTACATGCAGAGTTATTTTCTTTATATGAGGGTCATTTCTTCTTAAATATTAAACTTCAGGGAAATTTAATAAGAACTGTACCATTTTTCTTTTTTTTTTTGGGAGGGGGTGTGTGTGTTTTTTTTCAAAAGATATACACGCTATATAAACGCGATTTTTTATGTGAAACAAAATGATTAAATGATTTGAGAAACATGATGTGTAATGAAAAATAATTACAGTCAAACCTGTATTAAGAGACCTTCCAATGGAGAAAGGAAAAAAGGTCACATATGACAGGTGGTCTCTTAATACAGGTTGCTTATTTTCTGTAGTGTTCAAATATACAATGCTGAAAATATTACTTGTATGTGGAATGTATTTTATAACATATTCTGTTTATTTCTGCTTTTTAATAGGTACTGATCAACTCTAAATGCTTTTACATTATAGGTACAGTTGTCCTGTTGAAGTGTTCAGTAATAAAGTTTGCTTGATCCGCACATGAGTCATTTGATTATTGGGAAATATTGTGAACATCTGAAATAGCCTATATATAACTTCGAATGTTTTGCACATTACTAAGAATTAAAACTGTATCATGATTTTTTTTATGCAATTGGTAACAAATTAAATTATATTCATGACTAAAAATTTATTTAACCTCATTAATTTTTTTTTCATTACTGAACTACCGCGTCTAATTGCCTGTTTGTCGTCAGGTACTTCAGTCACTTCAATTATCTCCTGGTATGGGTGCTAGCTAGCATGTGTTTACATACTCCGTTGGTGACACAAATCACTTAAATAAACATTTAGGATTTAGTTACTTGTTACTTAAAAGTTAAGGTTTTATAGCTGAATATCCATTTGGCCCTTACAGCCAGAGCTCCCACTGGAGCGAAAATATTTTTCGCCACTTTTCGCGATGAAAGGAATCACATTTTTACATCTCGTTTCGACAAGTGTACAGTGTTAAACACTCCATTAATAGCACTATTTCAATTTGTTTATATCACAGGCATTGTTTTAGAATTGTAAGATTTAAAGTTGTATCCACTTACAAAACTGATATAGGAATTATTTCTACATTTATACAATTAATTTGATACTGATATTAGCCAACTCTGGACAGTAGATGTCCTCTTGTTCATAACTTTTTAGCCTGAGGAGGGGGGTTACAGACTTACTAAAGATATATGAAATTTTTTTTTAAATGAAAAAATAATAGGCGAAAATTTTAATCATATCAACAATTTATTGTGAAAAGAAGTAATTAAAATCAGGTTTAAAACTTGGCTTAATTTAACAACTAGGACACAGGGTGTATATGCATGTAAATTCATATAACTGAAAATAATTCAGCGTAATTGACAAAAGTATTGTTTTGTTTCCAAGCCAGTATCTCTTTCACTCTTTGTCAGTTTATTGTATAATGAACACACTATTTTGACTTTAATCAGGTAAAATTAGCAGCCATGCTCTGCAATTTTTGTCATGTTTTCCTACTTCGGTTTAAAAAAAAAACAATCTATATAGATCCAGATTTTATTGATTAAAATCTTTTATTAACTAACTTCATCTCCCCAAAACACTTTGTCTTTCCTTGTTTAATCCATCTTATATTATTTCAAGTAATTTTGTATCCCCTTACTGCTCCAGGCTAAAGTTACAAACTAGATCAGCTGTGTGCGTTCAAGCGAGATGTGATTTCCTACATGTACTTTGCTTTGTTAGTTTCATGGAGTTTTCACACCCTGAATTCACACGTCTGCTTTCATTAAATAAACAAAGGGGCTAATCTGTATACATTGAATAAACAAAGGAGATAGCCAGGAGTACACACACTTTTGTATGGTATATCTAAAAAAAAAAGTTCATTTTCGCCACTTTTGAATTTCTTTTCGCCACTTTTGGAAAAAATTCGCAATTGGCGCAAATGGCGAATCACAGCTCGAGCCCTGCTTACAGCACGAAATGATATCAGGATCGACCTCGAACATCTATTTTCAAAATGGCACTCAATCATTGGAGAGAAAAAACGTGAATGTTTATGTATTTAATTTAGATTTTAATGTTTACTCAATAAATATCAAAATGTAAGTAAAAATATTTATTTTGAAATGTTGCTTTACTCGTAACACTCGCATTATATAATTATCAATTTATGAAATAAATGCGTGTCTGTAGATGTTTTGAACCAAAAAACGTAGCATGCTCGACCGAAATCGAAAGTAGGAATTGGAAATTTTATATAGTTGTTATAGTTGTTAAACCCAGGTAAAATTGCCTGAAATTACAAAAAAATGGTCAGGAAAATCACAGTCGCTGGTCGCGTTAGGCAGGTGGTCGTTTAATACAGGTATAATATATAGGGAAAAGCGTTGGGAGGAATTTTTACGGTCACATATGACAGTGAGTTGCTTAATACAGTGGGTCGCTATGGCAGTTTTAACTGTACTTTCCACAAAGTTTTACTAAATAAGTCGTTGTAATTACAAAACAATTAAGCAAAATCTGCAATTAAGAATTCAGCCTATTTATGAATATTGATGAAGGAAGTGCGTAAATAGTATATAGATACGCATGTCCGCGGGAAATCATAGACAACGAGGTACTTTGCATTTTGACTTCGATTTTGAATAAAAGTAAATATCTGTCACTACAGAGTAGATGGTTAATACTGGTTGTTTTCTAAGATAAGTATCTTTAAGCATAAAATGTATGCCATCCATGTCAAAAGTTATTTTGTATACCAAACGGTCTACCTCGTTTTCTTGACGCCATTTTTGTTTATCCATCTAAAAGTAGCGACGGTGTCACATGATGCATGAATTTAAATATAGGCATTACTCTCCTAGTAGGATAATAAATAATATAATTTGAGATCTTTATAATACGTTCATTTCCAATTGTATAATTTACAATATTTTCATAACTTTATTTGGTAAACAAAATAAATAAATTTCCAACTTTATTTTTAACTGACGCAAGTTATAGCGTGTATATCTTTAAAAGAGTTAACTTTTATTCCAGGTGTTATTCATTATTAATTGAAAAACTTGACAAGATTGTTATATCAAAGACTCGAATTGGAAACAGAAATACTGCTGTATCTAAATCTGATGCAAAACCAGCTTTATAGTCACTGGATATCAAAAATACCAACTTACTCTAACGTCTGAACAGCCTCCATGTTTTCTGCCTGATCAAAATCTAGAGATCGGGGAAGGTTCTGAAATATCTTTACAGTCTTTGGACCATTTTCTGAAAAACAGATTAAAAATAAAAATAGTCTAGCTAATATTATCAAAAGTAATTAATGAAATAGGTTCTAAATTCAACAATTGTTTATTAACCATTTAACTTACAATAGCATACAATTACAATAATATTATTCTAAGTGCATCAAATATGACCTTGTAGTCCAACTTTGACCTTGACCAGACTCACTACACATTACATTTGACATTAATATGAATAGTGTGAAGTATACATGTAATTCCTTAATTGTACTGTCAAAAGAAAGCAAACTTGATTCCAATGTCTTGCCAGATATTGTAATCCAAAAATATATATCACTCACCCTCTGGGGCGTAAAGTTTCAGGGAATGTAACTTTACACTTTGTGTAAACTCCACACTGATGAGTAACTGTAAACAAAAAGTTTATTAACTAGTAAATCATACAATAGGCTCCTCCTTATATTGCAATCACATTTTGACAGATTTTGATAAGTGCAAAAACAAGAGGCCCATGGGCCACATCGCTCACCTGAGCACAATGGCTAGGAAAATGCACAAATCAATTCAGTATTGAAAAGTTTACATGGTGGGGGGGGGGGGGGGGGGGGGCTTGAATTTTAAACTACCTGAGGATGCTTCCATATCAATATAACAAATGGATTTCCTGTTCTTGGGTAGAAGATTTTTAAAGATTTTTTCCTATATTTATATTCCTTTGTAAAAATTTGATACCCCATTGTGGCCCTCCCTACCCCCAGGGGTAATCATTTGAACAAACTTTAATCTACACTACCCAAGGATACTTCCATATCAATATGACTAAACATGGTTTGCTGTTCTTGAGAGAAAGATTTTTTCCTTTATATTCCTATGTAAAACTTTGATCCCCCATTATGACCCCACCCTACCAGGGGGGTCATGATTTGAACAAACATGAATCTACATTACCTGAGAATGCTTCCATATCAATGTGACTAAACATGGCTTTGTTGCTATTGAGAAGAAGATTTTTAAAAATTTTTCCTATATTTCTATGTAAAACTTTGATCCCCCCTTGTGGCCCCACCCTACCCCCAGGGATCATGATTTGAACAAATTTGAATCTACACTACCTGCGGATGCTTACATATCAATATGACTAAACAAGGCTTTGCTGTTCTTGAGAAGAAGATTTTTTTTAGGTTTTTTCCTATATATTCCTATGTAAAACTTTGAACCCCCCTTGTGGCCAAACCCTAACCCCAGGGGTCATTTGAACAAACTTAAATCTAAATTATCTGGGGATGCTTACATATCAATATGACTAAACAATGTTTTGCTGTTCTTGAGAAGAAGATTTTTAAATATTTTTTCCTATATATTCCTATGTAAAACTTTGATCCCCCATTGTGGCCCCATCCTAACCCCAGGGGTCATGATTCAAACAAATTTGAATCTACACTACCTGAGGATGTTTCCATATTAATATGACTAAACAAGGCTTTGCTGTTCTTGAGAAGAAGATTTTTTAAGTTTTTTCCCTATATATTCCTATGTAAAATTTTGATCCCCTATTGTGACCCCACCCAACCTCCGGGAGTCATGATTTGAACAAACTTGAATCTACAATACCTGAGGATGCTTCCATATCAATATGACAAATCATGCTTTGCTGTTCTTGAGAAGAAGATTTTTTAAAGTTTTTTCCTAGACATTGTATATTCCTATAGAAAACTTTGATCCCCCATTGTGGCCCCACCCTACCCCCAGGGGTCATGACTTGAACAAACTTGAATCTACATTATATAACAAAAGTTTCCTATAAGTTTAAACTATTTTTTGGGCCAGTGGTTCTGGAGAAGAAGATTTGTAGAATATGCCACCAAATTTTCACTGTTTCTGAATTATCTCCCCTTGAATGAGGGTGTGGCCCTTCATTTGAAGAAACTTAAATCCCCATAACCCAAGGATGCTTTGTGGCAAGTTTGGTTGAAATTGGCCCAGTGGTTCTGGAGAAGAAGTCGAAAATGTGAAAAGTTTACAGACGGATGGACAGACAGATGGACTACAGACAAAATGTGATCAGAAAGACTCATTTGAGCTTTCAGCTCAGGTGAGCTAAAAAGTGATGAACAGATACAACAATTTCATTACTGGTAACAATTTTTGGGGCACTCAATTTTAGTCAATTTTAGTATTTAAAGAAAATGTTCCTTTCTTTGTGGATTCAGAATATGTAACATTTGAGAGAGGGTCATCCTTTAGAAGTGGTGGTGGGGAGGGGGGGGGTAGAAAGAATGGCAGAAAGTGGTGAAATAACAGGCTGTTGGTACTGTTGTAACAAATAATGTTGCAATACTGTAAACTCCTTATTTTACATGAGTACTTAATATCGTGAAATGGCCCTAGGATGTCAAATTGCGAGAACAATAATTCATGAGTGGACGATTGATTTAGAGATTATTTTAGCACATAAAAATAAAAGTGAGTAATTTTATTTCGCAAGTGGTGCTTCTCAGAAAATTACACAATAATTTATTCCTCACGTTTATTTAGGAATCTACAGTATCAGGTAGAATTTGTTAGATTTACCTGTTCATCACAGTCGGATTCTAGGTAGCCTCCCTTGGTAGTGAGGGCATGACTTAGAGGATGCTCATCAGATTCGTTAAGACACTCACATCCGGACTTGTTAATTAACGAGGACAGGTCCATCTGTATAGAAAGAAATATCTCTATTAGACAAAGAATAAACAATACTATTAGCTAAAATGTAGCCTTTGCCATCTTGTTTTGCTACATGCACCAAAGATAACTTTTTACAAAACCTTAAATAACATGTTTATTTTTCTTTATAGCTACACTGAAGAAGACTTTTTCCCATTTCTTTAGAAATTTTAAGCAAATAATAAAATTGATCAATAATTATTTTTTCTACAAAAGAAATATTAATCATCTTAATTGACTGCTTTAATTTTGATACTGCTTATCAGAAATGAGCTGACAGTTCTCAAAGTAACATATAATATACATTAGTACAAAGATCTACAAGTGCAAAGAATATATGAAATCAAACTGAAGCTACAAAGCAAAGAGACAATAACATAATATTTGTTAAATAAACACACATGTCCCTTCACGGTGACTTCATCTGCCCCCTCCTCTCCCTCCCCCATCCACTTCTTGATCTTCTCCTCCAAAGCGGCTGGATCCGCTCCCTTCATTTCATCGACTTTCACTTTATTTTTGTAGAATATGAAAGTGGGCATGGCTGTGACACCTTGGCTTTGGGCTGTTTCCTGACAAAAGAAAAAAAAACATTTTCATGAAACTCATGAAATTTGGATTGCAGATATGCACAGTCTACACTGTTTATGCTGCAGTCATAGCACACTTCAGGCATGCACAATATAGGATTTTTTTTTCAATGTCCTAAAAACAATGCATGTGTAAATACTTAGCTTCCACATCATGTATTAAGGCAAAGAACAAAACAAGTCTGCAAATTTGCATGTCAAACAGGCCCCTCCTGCACTAAAAGTCATGTCGTTGACCATATTATTGATTAAAAAAAAAATCATGTTCCATTTAACCTAGATGTACAGTCCAGTTTAACATTCAAATTGCAAGTTTTTAAGATCTATTCAACATGATAACTGTCCTGATTAAACATACATCAATACCTGGAATTAAAGTCCTTTACCCAAAGTATATACCTGACATTGATCAACATCGAGCTTGAGGAAGACAACATTTGTGTATTTCAGACTCAGCTCCCCATAAAGTGGTGCTATCCTTCTGCATGGCCCACACCTAAAGTATAAAGATTTTGTTTTATTTACATGAGGTATGAATCATCTTTATACTTCATAGAATTTAACGACGACGGACCTAATTCATTTCTGCAATAGATTTTTTATTTCAAAGTTTAATATGAGGTAAAGTGACTTGTGGTGAGTTAAAATGAATAAAAGAATCATATGGTCATCAATGTAGATTTTTAATAGGGAGCGTTCAAAAGTTGGCAATGGAAATCGATAATTACTATAGGAAGGTGGGAAATTGCCAGTGTAGGGTATAAGAGTGATCATTGAAAACAATTCTGCAATAGAATTCTTATTCATATTAAAGGACAATATTAACAATAAAATTTACCAGTAAATTATGCCAAAAAATAAATGGGTCATCAGCTTAGATTTTTCAGGGGGGGCATGTCAAACTCAGGTGTAGGGCACATTTTGGGGGAATTTTTCAATGAAAATACATTGACCAAATAAATCATATATTTATTAAATCAACAAATGAATATTTTTGAATTGAGAGGAAACGTTTGAACATCTTTAAAAGAATCAAAAATGTATATTTTTTATCTTTTGCAATACAAAAGGTCAATTTGATTCAAGGCATATGCGCAGTGGATTCCCAACTCCCTTTATTGTTTGTTATGTCTAAGGGCCCTGTCACACCAAGCTGCGTCCACACGGAGTCATTACGGCGATGTAAAAATGTTAAAATCGCAGTGGAATCGCACAAATTTCTGTAAAATTTTTACAATGTGAAGATGTCACGGTGTCCCTATGGCGACCCACGTGTTTCTACTGCGTTCCCAACGGAGATCTCTTCGCAATTGACTGCGCTTCGGCGGAGCTTTTACGGCGTGTTAGGAGTTGTCACCTCGCGTTCATGGCGTTCTCACTGCGCTTGCTGCATTCACAATACGTCCACGATGCGTTCTTCACTATGGATATATATCCAGAGGGAGTGTAACACATTTTTATTTTTAAAAGATTCTAGTAGTCACATAACGAAAAGACTTCAAAAACAAGAGGCCCATGGGCCACATCGCTCACCTGAACACATTGGCTAGGCAAAAGCCCAAATCAGTTCAGTATTGAAATGATTACTGGGGGGGGGGGGGGGGGGGGCTTGAATTTTGAACTACCTGATGATGCTTCCATGTCATTATAACAAATGGCTTTGTTGTACTTGAGAAGTTTTTAAAAAAAATTCCCATATATTCCTTTGTAAAAATTTGATCCCCCATTGTGGCTCCTTCCTATCCCAGGGGTCATCATTTGAACAAACTTGAATCTACACTACCTGAGGATGCTTCCATATCAATATGACTAAACGTAGCTTTTCTGTTCTTGAGAAGAAATATTTTTTCTGTATGTTCTTATGTAAAACTTTTGATCCCCCATTGTGGCCCTACCCCCTGGGGTCATGAATTGAACAAACTTGAATCTACACTACCTGAGGATGCTTCCATATAAATATGACTCATCATGGCTTTGCTCTTCTTGAGAAGAAGATTTTTAAAGATTTTTCCTATATATTTCTATGTAAAACTTTGATCCTCCATTGTGGCCCCGCCCTACCCCCTGGGGTCATGATTTGAACAAATTTGAATCTACACTACCTGAGGATGCTTCCATATAAATATGACTTATCATAGCTTTGCTGTTCTTGAGAAGAAGATTTTTAAACATGTTAAAGATTTTTCCTATATATTTCTATGTAAAACTTTGATCCTCTATTGTGGCCCCGCCCTACCCCTGGGGGTCATGATTTGAACAAACTTGAATCTACACTACCTGAGGATGCTTCCATATAAATATGACTTATCATGGCTTTGCTCTTCTTGAGAAGAAGATTTTTAAAGATTTTTCCTATATATTTCTATGTAAAATTTTGATCCTCCATTGTGGCCCCGCCCTACCCCCTGGGGGCATGATTTGAACAAATTTGAATCTACACTACCTGAGGATGCTTCCACATGTGTTTCATCTTTCCTGGCCCTGTGGTTCTTGAGAAGAAGATTTTTAAAAGATGCTATTAATTTTTCACTAATTCTTTATTATCTCCCCTTGAAAGAGGGCGTGGCCCTTCATTTGAACAAATTTGAATTCCCTTCACCCAAGGATACTTTGTGGCAAGTTTGGTTGAAATTGACACAGTGGTTCTTGAGAAGAAGTCGAAAATGTTAAAAGTTTACAGACAGACAGACGGACAGACAGACAGACAGACGGACAGACAGACAGACGGACGCCGGACAAAAAGTGATCAGAAAAGCTCACTTGAGCCTTCGGCTCAGGTGAGCTAATGATATATTTGAATAACTTAGTACTAAATTACTGTTAGTTTTGTAATTAATACCCTTCTTTTTTCAATTATATCAATTCAGATGTGTTTTTTTTAATTTTATTATGAATGTAAAAAATAAACACACTGAAAAGTTGTTATAGAATTTAAGTAATTCCATCGCAACTCCACTGAAACAACAGAACAGGTTCTGGTGTAATATTTACTTCCCAATTCTACTCCCATGCTCCTGGCCAGGAGTGCAACAAATACGTTAGAATTATTGCTGATCAAATATGAGGCCATTGCTCTTGTTTTGTGAGCTGGCTGACAACGCTCTAACAACGCCCTGAAAGTGCATTGTGATCGCCAACGTACGCGGTAGAAACGCCAAGAGAGCGCAATGATCGCAGTGACAACTCCTTGTTGTCGCTGTGTAATCACAGTCAAAAAAATCACAAGACAATTAATCTCATTAGAAGCGCCGTAAAAGCGCGATAGAAACGCCGACTTACGCCGTGACATCTCCAAGGACTCTGCGAGGTCTCTGTTGAAGCGCAGTCTACTATCACTGTGTTCATGCTGCGATCATGTGCGTCTTCACGGCGTGCATACGGAGCTCCCACTGGGTTGTTGGAGATCTCACCTCGCTGCTACGGTGATCACACTACGTTTCTACTGCGTTCTTATCAGACGGCGATCACACGGCGCGTACTTTGTGCATGCCCAAAGTGCGTGCCGTCCCCTGGCGTTCTAGGAGACCCTACGCGACCCTCCCGCTTTCAGTGGAGATCTCGCCGCGTTGTCACGGAGCTGTAGGAGACTCTACTGGGCTCACCTCGGCATTTTGCATTTTTTATGGACGCCGTGCGATCGCCGTGAGGACGCAATCCCGGTGTGACAGGGGTTTAACAGGTTGGGCACACCCCACCAAATGGTCATTTATCCCCCGTTTGGTGGACAATCTCCCATATAGGAGACGAATTTTACTGACCATTTGGGAGAGAAAAATGGTTGTGTTCAATTCAATAGAATGGCGTGGAATGGCGCATAATTTTAAACCACGTGGAATAAAATATAGATATTTATCGGTGTTTTGAGTGAAAAAAATCGGAAATTCAACGTGTAATTTTTTGCGCAGAGTCGTTCAAAAATTTGAAAAAAAAATGTCACGTATGTAAACAAGTGCAACGTTTCTCCGCTTTTACTTAAAAAGAAACTTTCCTCCTTCTTCTACGATGCTGCACCTGTCAATCATGTTCTTTACTTTCTATTTCGATTATCCGGGCAACTAATCAAATAATGCAAACCAATAAAAACGGTGATCTTTTTTTAACCTGGTCAGAAGTCGGATTTTACTACGGAGGCACATTAGTGTCAATTTTCAATTAGAAAATCAAAAGAAAAATAAGTTTTTGCCTTTATTTCATTTTATTTTGTATGCAATAGCTTTGTTCTCTATAAAAATAGTAAATGAAGTTAGATTATGATATAATTATTGTTTTAAAACGATGTACTTCGAACGAATACAAGAATAATTGCAAAAGTCACTTTGTAAATCTTTTATTGAAAATTATTGATCAAGTATATCAAATTCATCAGTAATATACATATTATACCACAAAAAGGTCGTATGGAATATGCAACTTCATCCTAAAAGAAAAATAACAACAGATATTGCGTTCAAGTATAGAAAAATATAACTTTTTAGCAGTAAGTGCCCACCATACCAGTAAAGTAATGAGGAGCTCGTGTTTAACGGGATTTTATGGAAATAAATATTGACGAAGATCCAAAAAGTGATTGGAACTTAACTTATCAAGAGTTCAACCACTGGATAAAATAGAATTTTTATCCTACTAGACACAATCAAATTTTTTTTGATCGAGTGATCAAGAAGTTCGGCTGTTACGGACAACTATGGGTATCGTTTTTAGGAAGTTACGGAGAAATTGCACATGGGAAATCGACCGAACTATGTTAATTGTGCGACGAATATGTTCACTAAAATTCCCCAATGCCTAAGTAAATGCGCTTTTGCTTTATTTTAATAAAATTTGGAATAGAATAAAGAAGTCCACCATTTGGTCAGTAAAATTCGTCTCCGATATGGGAGATTGTCCACCAAACGGGGGATAAATGACCATTTGGTGGGGTGTGCCCAACCTGTTTAAGGATGAAATAGTTTGCTAAATATTTCAGTCAGAAATGACTTGCTTAAAATTCCCAAGACTTTGAAGCTTGAAATAAAAAAAAAATTGCATTGAATTGCTGAAAATGTTTTCCCATAACTGAACATCAATTTCTTGGAATAATCAAATTCAATTTTATTTTTATAAGCTGTTTATTCTAAATTTCTTCAAGCGTATGTCAAACTTGCACGAAACCGTTCGAATTTCCTCTTTTATCAACTTTAACCTATGTCCAACAACAACCAAGTCTCGGTGTATAAATTCTGTGAAAACGAAAATTATACAACTTTCAAGACATGGAAATCTGAAGATGATTCATACACAAATCTTAATCATGTAGCCTACTTGAATGAATAAGGATTTCGGGATGGGGGTGCGTCGATTTACCCAAATGGAACCCAAATGGACCCAAATGGAACCCAAATGGAAATCAAATGGACCCAAATGGAAACCCAAATGGAAATCAAATGGATCCAAATGGAATATTAAACATATATTATGGTATTCTCAAGTTGTTACTTATTTAAAATATGGAAAATAATGAACTTGCAAATGGAGAATATTAATTATTCATCTCTAATATTTTTTTAAAAAATAAGAATTAATCTTTTTTCTATTTGTAATAACATTTGCATATCATTGAATACAAAATTGAAGTATTTCTTTTTAAAGTTTATATAGTTTTCATGGCCGTAGGAACCGTTGGGGGGGGGGGCACAGACCTGTGCCCCCCTCCTCCCCCCATAATTTTGCCGATATATAGAATACTAAAGAAAATTAATTAGTATTTTAAAATACAATATAAGAAATGAATAATTAATATTCTACATTTGTAAGTTCATTATTTTCATCAATAAGTAACAACTCGATAATACGATAATATGTATTTAATATTCCATTCGGTTTCCATTTGGGTCCATTTGATTTCCATTTGGGTCCATTTTGATTTCCATTTGGGTCCATTTGGGTTCCATTTGGGTCCATTTGGGTCCATTTGGGTTCCATTTGGGTCCATTTGGGTAAATCGACGTGCCGCGGGATGGTTCTTCTGTAAACTGTTGCTTACCACGTGGCATAAAAGTCCACTACGACGAGTTTAGTTCCAGCGTTGGTCAGTTCTGGTTGGAACTGTGAATCTTCCGTCACCATTCGCACGGTTCCTGTCATTTTTTGGCGTTGTTTTGTTTATGATGAAGCAATAATGCCGGTTTTTTGAAGTCACGAACATTCGCGAGACTTAGAAAAACTAAAATATAAACCTATCTAAAGGGGACTTTTAATTTCCGGCATAGTAGTCTACACTAGGATACATAAATCTGTTTTTTGATTTCAATAAACGCCATTGAACGGTGTTGCCATGGTTAGTAAAAACATGAATTTCCGTGAAAGTTTTAAAAAACGCTACTTCTACTACAGTTCTATATAATCTGATTTTAATGAAACTCCTTACGTACTACGTACACAAGTACACTACGATCACGTCGATACATAATGTTCTATATAACGTTAAATTATCAGTTTTTGATTCTCAGCGCAGTTAACAGGTTAAGTTGCAAGCGTTAATTCCTGCAGTAATAAACATTTAGTTTAATGTAACCTACATGAAATATTCTCTGAAACTTTTCGAGGAGATTGGGAACATGAAGAGTTTTGGCCTCCAAATTACAGTGTTTATTTTACACTGTACGATAGGAATACGAAGAAAAGGATTATGGGAATTGGGGCAAAAGGATAGGAAAAGCCACTCCTTCTTTCCTCACCCAGAAAAGGGGGGGGGGGACAGGGATGGGGTAATCGTAATCGAGTAATCGTAATCGATTGTAATGATTACTGCTTTTCAAGTAATCGACAGTAATCTGTAATCGAAGAGATTTTCGATTACTTGTAATCGTAATTTAATCGATTACAGCTAAAATTTTCAATGTAATTATAATTACTTTTTCGATTACTTTCGATTATTTATACATAAATGGATGTTATTTTGGAGAATTAATTCCAGTCAATCACACATAAATATCAAATATAAACCACCTAGTGTAATGTTTGGATTTCCTAACTTTTCTTATCATAAGTTTAATAATGTTCTCAATGAAATTTGCATTATAGACCTACTGGTCTAGTATTAAATAATTCAGAAGTATATTTCAACCATTTATTAATAAAATATACAGATTTTTCGTGTGCATTTTACATTTGACCCACTGTCCTCTTGCTGCATGTCCTTTTTCATATTTCAGATGTTGAAAAACTTTGTCTTGTGATAGAAAATTATAAATAGCAAAAACAGATTTAAGTGCTGTATTAAATATAAATAATTTGGTAAATAAACTACATAGTACTTGAAAAAAAAAGATGGAAATACTTATTCATATCTGAAAATGTTTAAACAACTTCAAACTTGTGTTTTAGTAACTTTAAAATTTGGAAAATCATTCTCATGTTTTCATTCAAAATTGTAAGGTTGCTTTTATATCAGTGAGGGGTTATATATAAGTGCCTGTAAGAGAGGGAGTAAGTGTCACTGTGTTTGCTTATCTTAATTGGCTGATTAATTGACTGAGACATATCCCTGATTGCAGATAATGAGGTGTAAACTGTGAACTACCTTGTGTTTAACTATCATTCCATTGAAGACAAACAATATTATTAAAAGAATTAATACCTCTCAAAACACTTATTTCAATACAGAATGAAACTGTGTTACATGTATTAGTTAAATTACTTAAAGACACATTTAATTTACATGTTAATTACTAAGAGTTCGTTCTAATTTACTTATTTTTTTGAAAAAGACACGTACAGGAATGTTTAATGTGTACTGTCAACATACGGACAGCCCAAATACTTCTAATGAAGTAATTCACAATAAAATATTAAATAATTTTTTCAACAAGTTAATAAATATGGAGGTACAGATCTAAGGTTGAAAGGAATAATTAATTCCTTGGCATATTTTATTGTAGGTATCATGTCTCCTCTTTCCATGGTAGAAAATCCCTCATTAGGGATTTAGTGAGAATGTTAGCCAGAATAAAACCTTAAAAGAATCTGCACTGAAACTGCAGGAACACATTCAAACTTCAGTGGATAACATCAAGATTTACCATTTAAATATTGCTTTGATATTTGAAGGGATAAAAACTTGGAAGTAATCGATTATTAATCGATTACATCTTCCACAGTAATCGATTACAATCGATTACAGGACAAAAATGAGTGTAATCGATTAATAATCGATTACACAAAATTCCTTTTACATTTTTCAGTAATCGTGCCCATCCCTGGAGGAGGAGAGTCAGAGCTAGAAGAGAAGCTAAAGGAAGAAAGGAAGTTAAGAATAAAAAAGTACAAGGATGAAAGAATGAGAAGAGAAGTTGGGAAGAGGGAGAAAGAGGTAGACTCCATAAAAAACAACATGATTTTGACTTTAGGTGAAACTGTCAGGGTGGGGTGTGGCGGTGAGTCTACCCAAGGCATTGAGAACTGCATCGCAGAAATCGGTAAACCAGACCACTGTGTTGTAACTTCTTTCTTCTAGTGATTAAATTTATAGTATATGATGTATTTTAACAAGAATACAATGCACCATTGTACAGATACACGTATCTTTTTTAAGTATATGCTCTATAACAAGATGTGTTAGTGAAGCACTGATATGGCAGCTCATGACGAAGGCTAAATTTTCTCAAATGCAAGTCAAACTCCAAGGTCAAGGTCAAGGGATCAAAAATGTTTTATACCCAAAGAAAGGACTTGTCATAAGGAATATCTGTGAAATATCAAAGCCCTAGCGCCAACTGCTCAAAAGTTATGGCCAAGGTTAAAGTTTTTCAAAATTAGGTCAAACTCAAAGGTCAAGGAAAAAAGGTCAAAACTGTTGGTACCCAAGGGAAGGTCTTGTCACAAGGAATACACAAGTGAAATATGAAAACCCTAGCACCAACTATTCAAAACTTATGGCCAAGGCTAAAGTTTTTCAAAAGTAGATCAAACTCCAAGGTCAAAGTGAAAGGGTCATAATAAATGGTACCCGAAGGAAGGTCTTGTCTCAAGGAATACACCTGTGAAATATGATAGCCCTAGCCTTCCAAAGTTATGGCCAAGGTTAAAGTTTTTCAACAGTAGGTCAAACTCAAAGGTCAAGGTCAGAGGGTCAAAATTGTTCATACACAAGGAAAGGCCTTGTCACAGGGAATATACATGTTAAGTATGAAAGCCCTAGCACCAATTGTTCGAAAGTTATAGCAAAGGTTAAAGTTTGGAGAAATTTGCAAAAGTGGTCAAACTCCGGGGTCAAGGTCTGGAGGTCAAATATGTTGGTACCCTAAGAAAGGACTTGTCGTGCACAAGGAATACACATATGAAATATGGAAGCCATACATGTAGCCCCAACCAATCAAAAGTAAAGGGCAAGGTTAAAGTTTTCAAACAGATAAACAGACAGACGGACGGACAGAGCTAAAACTATATGCCCCGAATCCTCTATTACGGGGACATAAAAATAACAGTACAATTATCAATAATTCAGTAAAAGTTTGATTTTGATTTGTATCACAAGAAAGTTTGGATATCATTAATCTTTTTTTCGCTTGGTAATGTTTCTTTCGGTTTATCTGGATTTGGTTTCGTTTCGATTTCTTTCTAAACTTAAGCTCTTTGTTACGTGTATGGTCTTAAATTTGGTAGGACAGTGTAATCACTACAGTAGAAGTCCTTTTATCTTATCAGTCATCTCCAGACTAATACAATACAAAGGATTTAAGAAGAAAGCGAGAACGATAAAATGGATGTCACTATGTTTCTGTTTTTAATAACATTAACTGTTCATTTTTCTGCAAGTCATGTGACCAGCTCTGAAAACGATGATTGGCAGACGACAATGGAAGCCCGCCTATCTATTTTGGAGAGGAATCTGCAGCAGTACATGAAAATCAATGATCAACTTCTGGAGGAAAATCAGGCTCTAAAGAAACTGGTTGGAGACAATAACAGGAAATACACTGAGTTCTCTTTAAAGATGAAAAGTCTTGAAAGAACTATCAGTGGTATTCAGAACAACCGGAAGAATGTCCAAATACGTCCCCAGACAACAGATCTCCCGAAAAGTGTTAATAATAACCAGAATGGTCTACAAACAGAACTCAATATAAATCGAACAAGGAATAACGGAATAGATCAACAGTTTACCACCAATGTGACCAAAGAGCCAAGAAAAAGAATAGGTAGGCCGAATTACGGAATATTCTTTTTAGAGACTTGATTTGATCAGTTGACTTTCTATATCAATATGAATGCTTGTATAATTGTCTGTTGGACTTCAAAATGAAAACACGTTTTCTAAAACATAATTATTTAGATGTTTTTTTTTTTACATAAATAATCATTGTGTTTGATATAATGTTCATTCTTACCTTTTGTTCAAATAACAAGAACTTAAGTTTTACTCTCAAAATTGTTTTTTTTTTATTTACCTAGTTCCACCAACCCCCGATTCTGCAACTGAGAACATAGCTTTCCATGCCTACCTGTCTACAGATACAGCTTCTGGTCTTCGTCAACATCATACATTAATTTTTGACACAGTCAAGGTCAACAAAGGTCAAGGATATCACAAGGACGATGGTATATTTATCTTGCCAAGATCCGGAGTTTATGTCTTTGCATGGACCGTTGCAGTTCAAACCAGCGGTTGGGCCTCTGTAGAGATTGTCGTCAACGGACAAATTGCTGGATCGACATTTGCAGATGGCGATGGTACATCCTGGGCTGAAGGAGCTGGTTTCATAATTGTAGAAGGGAAAGTCGGAGATCATGTTTACCTTCGTATGCATGAAAACGGAAATGGCGTGGTAAGCAGCAATGGCAGAGCACGAACGTCTTTCTCGGGATGGCGTCTCTTTTAATGTTTTATCGTTTTGGAATAAACTCATGTTGATATAACATGTCTGTTGATTATGATAGTTCATTATATGCATTTGATTTATTTATCGTTCATAGTTTTTCGTCCTTTGCAAAATTATTTCACTCATATGAAACGTCAACAGATACGGATGAAGAGCTTTTACTTAGCATTCAGGGTTCATTGAGCAGCGACGGTTATTTAATTAGCAAGGACTTGGTTCTTAAGATCTTATCCGGAGGGCCTGTAACTTTCACTTCAACACGCAGAGCGCTTGGCAAAGGAACAGTTGCTTCCTATTTTTTTTTTTTAAAATTGACTAAAAGTAAAGTATGTTGCCGCATGGGCTTGAAATCATGACTTCCGAGCAAAAATATCTCAGGTCCTGAAATTAGGTGTTTCAAAGTTGGTTTGCAGAACAGGTATAACGATAGCTTTTTCACTTCCTGTGTCCTCCCTTTTTTTAAAGTTGATTATATTTAATTTATTCATTTTCATCATCAATTCTATGGGTGGTTACTTTTTTGTTTTTGCATTGACACCTCAGAATCTTATACATATTTCTGCCCCAGGGCAATAGTTAGCTATTTTTCCCGTGCCTGGTGACACATAAGCACCACAGACGTATTCACTTATCCCTATAAGCTGCTGCTAGATGCTCTTGCTACATTCCACGAGCGCCATCCAGCATCTACTCTCTGCCGTTTTAATGTGCGGAGGCATGTTGTTTTTGATCGTTTACCTCTTCCTTCTGATGCCCATGTTAGTACGATGTTACAGTCACTGGTTCTTGTCTCATCAGTGTCTGTTCAATATACTACCATCTTCTTCTTACTTCCACCGGTCACGGTAACCTAGTGGTAGGGCGCTTGCTTCGTGATCGGGAGGCCCGGGTTCAATTCTCGTTCGCCGCGTCTCGGCTGATCTAAGATCTAACATAGTTAGTGACTGTTCCTTTGCCAAGCGTCCGATATTAGAAGTGAAAGTCACGTGTCTTTCGAATGAAACCTTAAAAACCGCGATTCCTGTCACGGTAGGCGTTGGCACGATAAAGAAGCCTCACTGCTCAATGGTCCTAAGTGCCGAGTATAGGTCTAAATTTGAACCCCTTCACCGGTATATGGTGACGTCGCTATATAAGTGAAAACTTCTTGGATGGGATATAAACAACTATCAATCAACAATAATTCTGCTTTCCTCCTCACCTATTTGTTTCATATTTGTTCTCTGTAACAGATCTTTACTTCGAATTCTCACTCGATCTTCCCATTTTATCTTTATTATGCTCTTTGAGCATTTGTTCTGGAATGTGTGTATCTGGCCTTTATTCCTTTTAAAGTAATTTTTGAAATAGCATGTAAGTACATTTCTTTTAAAGATACATTCTTTCATTTCATCTTGTTATCTTCTCTTCCATATAAAACGCCAATATTACAAGCGTTTTGAATAGTTTAATTTAGTTTTTCTTTTAATATTATTGCTGATCCATTTTTCTTACTGTTAAGTATAGTAACTGTGTTTCAGGCTTCTGAGAGTTTGTATTTAGTGTTTCCCAGTATTCCTCTTAAGTCTGTAAATGAGTCTACTTCTACTACCGTATTTAATTCTCTCATTTATTGTATATATTCTCCTCGTCTGTAGAATTTATTTTCATCACTTCTGTTTTCCCAAAATTAACTCTGAATCCCATTCTTTCTGCTTCTTTCATTAATGTTTTGTTTTTTTCTTTTGTCGGTGCCTTTTCGTTGCCGTTAAAAATCCACCGCGTCTTGGTTTCTCCATTCTGTACAGACCTCCTAAATATTCAAGTTCAACGCTATCAGAAATTAAAATCAGACATGTTACAACCTTGTCTCACTCTTGTTTTCTCATTGAATTAATTCTAAATCTCCCCTTTTTTAATATCAAAGTACATGTGAAATAGTTATTAAACACTTTTATGATAATGTTGACATGTTCATTATAACATATTTCCACAGGTGATGAAAATTTTTAGCATATGATTATTTTAACAAATAAAAACACCATTGTACAGATACGAGATCTATCATTGTTAAATGTAAGTATATAGTTGCTTACTACACTTTTTCCTGCCTGTATCATTAGTGTTCAGGAGATTTTCAAAAACTTATTATCTGACCGAATTCCGACCTTGTCTAACATTATTATGACGAACATCAAATCATCAATAGAAATTACTAGTACTATATTTCTAGTAAAAATGATTAATCTTTTACACAAAGAATGTATAAGAGTTCAAGCAATCATATCTTTGACATAATTTTCGTTTCATATGACACTAAGCATGTTTTTACTCACAGTTAGCATTAAGAATAGAAACGATAATGAACGAGTATATGTCTCCCCCGAATTTTCAAACATCCGTATCTATGGCAATTGCCAAAGCGTTAATATCATGATTTTTTTAAAAATATTTTTAATCAGAAAATTCAACAAGGGTATACATTTTTACTTGTAATTTTCATTCATTTCCATTAATAAATAAATGAAATACAAGAAAATTCCACGAACTTTTGGATCAATCCTCGTATATGCTCTGCGATAAAAATTGTAAATATTTGTTACATGCAAGGTCTTAGATTTGGAAGGACAGTGTGTCTTCACTACAATAGAAGTCCTCTTATCTTATCAGTCTTCTCAATACTTATACAACACATAAGGTTACGTAAGAAGAAGACGAAAACGACAAAATGGACGCCACTAGGTTTCTTTTTTTAAATAACATTCACTTTCCATTTTTCTGCAAGTCAAGTGACCAACTCTGAAAACAGTGATTGGCAGACGACAATGGAATCCCGCCTATCTATTCTGGAGAGGAATCTACAGCAGTACATGAAAATCAATGATAAACTCTTCGAGGAAAATCAGGCTCTAAAGAAACTAGTGGAAGACAACAACAGACGGAACATTGAGTTGTCGTTAAAGGTTGAGAATCTCGAAAGAACTATCAGTGATATTCAGAACAATCGGAAGGATGTCCAAATACGTCCCCAGACAACAAATCTCTCAAAAAGTGTTAATGGTAGTCAGAATGACCTACGAACAGAACTTATTAAAGATCGAACAAGGAATTACGGGATAGATCAACAGTTTGCCACAGAAAAGTCAAGAAAAAGGATAGGTAGGCTTATTGTAAACTGAATTTCGGAATATCTTAATCGATGGTTTGATTTGATCAATAGACTTTCTATATGAATCTGAATGCTTGTATAATTTTCTGTTGAATTTAAAAAATCAAAACATTTATGGATTGTAATATTTCAAAATAAAAAAATAATTTTGTTTCATATAATGTTCATTCTTACCTTGTGTATCAACTTAGCAATTTTTAAAGTTTTAAACTCAAAATTATATTTTGTTTCATTTATTTAGTTTCACGAACCCCTGATTCTACCACAGAGAACATAGCTTTCCATGCCTACATGTCTACAAACACAGCTTCAGGACTTCGCCAACATCACACATTAGTTTTTGACATAGTCATGGTCAACAAAGGTCATGGTTATCACAAAGAAGATGGTATATTTATCTTACCGATATCAGGAGTTTATGTCTTTACATGGACCGTTGCAGTTATAGACAATGCTTGGGTCACTGTAGAGATAGTCGCCAATGGACAAATAGCTGGATCGACATTTGCAGATGGTGATGGTACGGGATTTGATGCAGGCACTGGTCTCATTGTTGTGGAAGGAAACGCAGGAGATCATGTCTATATTCGTGTTCATGAAACCGGCCTTGGTGTGATAAGCAGCACTGGCAGATCACGAACATCTTTCTCGGGGTGGCGCCTCTTTTGATACACGTTTCGTGTTTTTTGTAAAATAAAAGTCATTTGAAGCATTCAAATTTTTTTCCTGCTAATTAAATGCTCATAAATTCCCTGAAAGCATTTATATCTTTCCATAATAAGTGTGTTTTGTATAAGAGTCAGCAAACGATATTCTGCATAAAAGTGCAGATCTGCAAAGTATTCTTCTTTCTTTGACAAATGAGACATCATTAAAAAGTTGGCATAACAAAATACAAGTAACATTATCTTAAATATCAAAAAAAAGTATCGTGATTAAAAATGATATGCTCAATAATTTTGCACAATTTTAACCATGCAATTTAAGTTAAAAAGGGTTGATATATATATATATATATATATATATATATATATATATATATATATATATATATATATATATATATATATATATATATATGTGATGACCACCCTTATGTGCATTGTGACGTTATCGAGAGAACGAGCGCTAAAGTTGACGTCATAAATGTTTGCCGAATTTTGCAAAAAAATGTGCAGCGTGAAGATGCATCATTAAATAAAGTCTTTCTTTATAAAGTAGATGCATAGACTAGACAACATATTGAGTAGTCATGTAGTCATGAGTGACTTGAACTATTAAAGCCTACTTTTTAGGATTTTTGAACAAAAAAATATTTTTTTTGTAAAGATTAGTTACTAGCAAACTGAAGGTGAAAATCTTATGAAGTAGCAAATGCATAATCTTCGCCCTTGTTTACATTTTCAAGGAGCATTTTTTTAACTTCTAAAACATATATATGGGGAGAATATATATTCATTTGTATACTAAATAACATCATGTACCAAAAATCAAAAACAAGATTGAAGGAACCCCGGGGGGGGGGGGGGAGGGTCACCGGAATATAATTTATCAGTACATATAATAATTTAACAGAGCTATTTACAGTTGTGCCTCCTCGGTATAGTTTTGTAAGTTTATACTGTATCAAATGAAAAAAAAGTTTTGTTATTACTTGTCAAATATCCCCGTTTTGTACTATTCTGCTCGTCAAGAACCCTCCTCCCCCACCCCACCCCCTAAAAAAAAGTTGCTTCCTACGTACCTGAAATAATCTACATGGATGTTAACATGTACCGCTATTAAAGAGAAGTAACCTGCATTATAATTGTTTATTTGTACTTGGCAACAGGAAGCGTTCAGTATTCACCACTTCCTCCAAAGATTTTTAGAGGGGAAAATATAAACTGTTGTTTTTTTTAATTCTATAAAATAGTTGTTAAAAATAGAGTTTAAAACAAACTGATTTTTAAAAAGTTTTTACCTAGTTCATACTCTGAAAGGAATAATTTTGCAACATTAAGAAATTTTTTGAATCCTTCGATCAGTTAAAGACAACACAACCTTTTTGGGAAAAGATGAAAAATTATCATAAAATTGAAATCATTTAGACTCTAAATTGTGTTGTATCCTAATTTTTTTTTTTAGATAATACTAGGGTAGGTAAAAGCAAACTATAACTTTGATGAGGTCGTAGATAAAATTAATTAAGTGCTCAGGCCCGTAGGAAGCATTTTCAGTTGGAGGCACTATCAACTACCAAAATTTCCTTGACAAGCCAAAAAAAGGTCAGCAGACATTTTTATTGAGGGGGAGGGGGGGCACAAGCATATAGTAGGGATGTTTTCTATAGTGTTCTATAAATCGGCAAAAATATTGGGGGGAGGGGGGAGGGCACGCCCCCCCCCCCCCCACCCCGGTTCCTACGGCCATGATGCTGTTGATTCAAATAAACTTGAAACTGATGTGATATTCAGCATGTGGCTATTTACTCTATTTAAGCTATTTTAATGTGTCATTTAATCGACCAATCAAACCACAACTGTACAATTTTATTAGAAACTTCTTGGAGTTAGCGTGCTTTCGGGTTATTTTCCTCCTTCTACCTTGCAACCACAGCAAAGTGAAGTTTATTCTGAATTATGCCGAAAAGCATGATCTCGCTTAGCCAGCAGGAAGTAGACATGTAGTGGGATTAACACCATTCAAGGCTGTTTGTACAACCCGCTGCACCCTTCTCTACAGATTTGCGACAAGTGCATTATACACTGGACTATTCTTATGCACTTTCAATTCTGCACCACATACATGTATGCCAAATTGACCTATTATGTTTTGCAGTACATATTTGGCCATGCATGGTATACTTAGTGCGCACATGTAATTCTCATTCTCTCTCAAAAAAGAGGATTGTTTCAATACTGCATTTTTGCACGAATTGTCTCATGCCAGGGTCGAAACGCATTTTAGCTCTCTCCATAATTAATGTGAGAGGATCGTTCATTTTGATCATTGTTTCTGATGATGTATTTCACGGAAAACTTAGATAAGGCGAAATCGGGTTTTATTTAAACGTGTATAGTTGTGACAATGCTTCAGATGTCATTTCTTTAGAATATAAAAGAAGTATGTCACTCCAGAAAGAGGGGTGCACGAAACGCGTGCCTTATGGAGAAAGTAGCAGAAATCACACTCGATCCCATGACTGGTCTCTAAATTTTTAAAAACTGATAATTATTTATTCATTAAAAATATGGACCCCAACCACATTGTAAATTCCGAATTCACTTCTGGTTATGCATTTTTATCTGCATAGCTGAAACAAATACACATGTAGGTCAGGCCATCTTTAAAAAATTGTTTGGTTGCCCTCTCCCGATCGACTGACTAAAAATGGCCCGACTCAAAACTTTTTTTTAACATTCCAGGGCACGATATTTTCTTTTCGTTTTATTCCTCATCCCGTCAACAAATATGATGAAGTTTTCTGGAAAGAAGATTTTTCCACCTCCCTACCGACCCAATAACTTTATCCTGAGTCGGGAGAGGGCAAGCAAACATTATTTTTAAGATGGCCTCAGGTTTTAATTGTGACTTAATTTTAGCAAAGTTGTTCTATATTCAAGCAGGAATAAACACGTCAATTATTTTTCAAAAAATTAATTATTCCATTCCTGAAAACAGGTATTAGTTTATATGGAGAATATAATGACTTGCTATCAGTCAAAAACTTTACTTCGTATGCAAGTCCTGTACCTTGATAAATGTTGGTGGATGTTGGAATTGCTTTAATAAGGAAAATATAAGGACGGAGAGAAGTTGATTTCTTTGTGAGCTTGCTATCTACTACAAGGAAGAGCGCCATGTTTAAGAAATGCACATTTTCAGCAGATAAGGAGGGGAGGGGGCTTCCTTCCGTTTACGGGAAAACGAAGTTCTGTGCCAAAAGTTTCACTACGTAAAAATTATATTACAGCGATCTGTATTATTTGCGCCTATAATACAGTCTTTCTTCAGCAAATCTTGTTCATCTGTTCCCTGTTATAAGTGTAGTGGCGGCTAGAGAGGATGATTTCTTTACTAAGCTCTTCGGGTCATTTGTGCGAAAATAACAGAAAGATGCAATCGAATCTGCTCCTCAAAACTGCTTCAAAAAAGAATAAATTCCGGAACATAATAATCATCATTTAAATAAAACAACAGGGCAGAAAGTATTTTAAACGAACGGCTAGATTTAATTTATATGTGAAATAATATATATTGTATCTCTCTCTCTCTCTCTCTGGAAAATGGTGGGGGCCGTTTGTTATCAGAATCCCCGTTATTATAGCAGACATATTTTTTGTTTTCATACGAAGCCGAATTAAATCAAAATCTTATACTTGAGAAGCAGAAAACACTTTCTGTGGCTTTACACATTTAGATATATCGACGACGTATTATCAATTAGCAACAGTTACTTTCATGCATATGTCGACACGATACATCCTGAAATTGTCAAACTATCGATCATAAAATGCCGCAATAAAACTTCTGAAACAAAAAAGCATACAAACAATTAATTTGATCTGACCTGTGTAAGCTTTTTCTTGGAGGGTGGGGGTTGGGGGGGGGTTGCATAAAAGCCTCTAGTATTAGATGAATCTGAGTTTTCCGCCGAGATGTTACAATTATAGACCATATAAAGGCACAATAAAATTGCCCCCCCCCCCCAAAAAAAAAAAAGAAAAAGAAATTGAAGAATAAGCTGAAAAAAAAGATAAAAAATAAATTAAAAAAAAGAAAGAAACAAAACAAAATATCTCTTGTCTGGGATCTCTTTTTAAGGGGGGGGGGGGGGGGTTATAGAAGCCTGAATTTTCTTCTGAAAGCGCCGCCCTACACTACACTGTCATTGAGATAGGAAGTGAATTAAAGTTATTTGGACATTAGTTTCATTAGAAGATCGTTACCGATACACATTATATTGAAATTAATTTTATTTAAAAAGTACATATTTACAACAATTCTTAAACTAACATAACTGCCCTATTTGAAGAAAAATTAATATAGAAAGCGCAAAGAAATTAACTTTTTAAGGATACCCACTTCTGCCCCAGCCCGGGGTTGACCTCTCGACATACGGAATCTGTCTCCTAGTACAGGAACAGATAGCGCGCTAGACCGCTCGGCCATCTAGGCAAGTCAAAAAACTTGCTTTCAATTGAAATGGAATCCTCGCGGCGCCGCCCTACACTACACGGTCATTGAGAATGGATGTGAATTACAGTTATTTGGACATCAGTTTTATGGGAGGATCGTTACCGATACACATTGTAATGAAATTAATTTTATTTATAAAACACATTTTTACAACAATTCTTAAACTAACATAAATGTCCTGTTCTCCAGATGAGGGACCAGGTTAAAGTTTTTGGAGCAGGTTCATTCTAAAGTAATTATTTGCCGTACCTTAACCAAACTTGCGTGAAAGTTACATCTAAAGATGCACACTACCAGACTTGTTCCGGATGCTGGATTTGACCTACATTTTCCAGTAAGAAACCCGGTTATAGTTTTTGGCGCAGGTCCATTACGAAGAAACTATAGTGCTTATCTGAACCAAACTTGCATGGATGATGCATCAAGGGATAAACACTCTCAAACTTGCTTTAAATGCTAGATTTGAATTACATTTACTGGATAAGTGACTTGTTT